ACCATTCAAAAATGTAGCTACATGGAACTACGTCTTCAGCTACTATAAAGTAACCTTTATCTTTTTTTTTTTTTTTTTTAATATACTTCTGTGGTAATAAATCATCTATTCATATCACTGTGGCTGTGATTATCTATATCTTTAATCAGTTATTTATTATCAATCCACCTTGGCTGTAAAAATAAGCAATTTGCTAATTTTTCAGTACATTACGACATACATATGGAGCACAAACCACAAAGGCAGCATGAACCCTTCTTTGCCTCTCTCTCTTTCTCTCTTAAATATATAAAAAGGCCACTTGTGAAGTCCAGCAATTTAAAAATGTAGCTTATCTTTTTGTAGAAACAAGTAATTAGCAGTGCAATTTAACATTGGCAATTAGTCATGGGCATGGTTAAGCTCATTTGCATTTCTGACTACCTGATAGCAAGTGAAGTCAAGTAATTAGTTGTCCACACTACCTAAATTGCATAAAAAATAACTGAACTTAACACTGAAATATTTATTTAACAGTATATCTATGAAAACTAGATGCAGAAGATGTGTGTCCAGTCTTCAAATATAGTTGTAATGAAAAAAATGTAAGAAGATGTTTAGAAGCTTGAGGATACCGATGAGTACCTAATGGGATTTTCAGAAGCACGTTGGTTTCTCACAGCCATTAGAGTCACACAGAGCTGTGGTTTCCCTCTGCAAGACAAAACCTTTTTATATGCTCAGCAGATGAGTTTATGTATATTGGCCCTTAAACCCTTATTTATCTCTGTGTTAGCATGCAACATAGATCAGTTTTTAAGAACAAAATTAACTTTCAAAGGGCACTTTGGAAACATTTTTAAAATACCTCATTAAACACTTCTGAGAAATATTTATAAAACAACTGAGGATCCGGCAAAAGATTAATTTTAAAAATTGCAGTAGTTACCCAGAGGAATTGTTCTCAATATTCATATGAATGTGGTTTTGTTATACGTGAAACCAGGCATCACTGAGATGGAGACCAGTTCAGGCATCTTTAGCGTGGGGTGAAATTTATGTCTGCGCTCAGAGCCAACCCCGCAGCCAGACACTACCAACAATGTCTTTATTCTGCAAACACTTTACAAAGCACAGGAACCAAATATATTGCAGGTGAAATTCTCTGTTGTGCAGGGGTCTTTCACAGGTCTCTGTATTACATAAGTCGTGCTTAAATACTATTTCAAAGTTGCACAAATCTACAGCGCTGGCATGAAACTTCCCTTGGAAGAATTCCTTGAGCCCTTTGAAAAGGATGTACTTTGATAGCATCTATCACAGTCTCTTAAGCAATACATAAATCTTGTGCTGGCCTCTGCGCAGAGGTGGGTACACCTTGCAGAGTATCTCCAGTTTTGTAGAGGTGTCACAAAATCCCACAGTGCTTCTCAGTTTGCATTTTTCAGACTGAGCAGGCATCGCATACATCCAAATTTCAGAACCACTAATAAACACTTTAATTACTCAAACGATCAAGAGAATAGGGAAATGAATATTTTACAGTTTAGCTGCTCACAGCTTCTGGCCCTGGACTGAAATCTTGATTCCACTGAAATTGGTGAGAGTTGTTACTGACCTTGGTGAGGCCAATATCTCACCCCATCTTTCAGCTGATAGCCACTTGTCATCACTAGCCTGTCCTCCAGCCCAATCTCTACCTCAGACTCCATTAGCGAGATTTCTCAGTGTCAGACTTTTCTAAAAAAAACCTCTTCCATTCTGAGGAAAAAGCTCAAAACAATGAGAATCACCTACCCATCAAGCCCACAAGGTTTATAACTTTGGTACACAATTCCTCGAAAGAAATCAAGTGCCATGTACCCAAACTGCTCTCACTTGCCAAAAAAGTTCTTTACAACAGTACTCAACTGTCCCCTACGCAGGTGCCAGAACTCCTGGTACTCGAACATCGCCACCACCTCATGGCAATGGGCTGCCGTGATCTCTTGCCAAAGACCAAAAATCTCAAAGTATGATTCTGTAATAAGGTGATCCTGTTCTGGGAATGGATCTAGTGGACCCACACCTTGGTTATTCTTAATCAATACCTAAATAGAAAAATAATGACAGAATACAGGATCCTCAGTTACCAACAGCAGTGCTGAGTACCTCACCCTTTATTTTCTAGGCTGTGGGTCTTATGAAAAAATAAGTAACATGGAGATAAATAACATGTTTCCAGGAGACATGGAAAGAACTCTGTACCATAACTGTCAACAAACTTGCAGTAGGGTTGCCCTAACCTGCAGAGAGTTCACGTCTTTGATCTAAATCAGAAAATGAGGGAAAGAGTCTTGGCTCTCATATTTTCTAGGGAATGCTCAAATCATTCTGCTGTTAGCTCTAATGGGGTACATGAACGCTCTTGCTCTCACACTTGACTTGTTCTCTGTCCTTTTCCCCCTCCTTCTTGGGGAAAAGCAGACAAGAACTTACATAAAAACGGCAGGGAAAGTTTATTTACCTTCCCAAGAGTAATCACTTCTGTCCTCTGAGATGCTTATACAGCATGCAAGTCCTCTCTTTTAAACTTCCTTCCTGCTGTCCTTAATGGTGTTCCCCTTACACTGAGGAGCGGGCCATTTATTCCAAGTTCAGGATCCCTTCTTGTGGCAAAAGCCCAAGAAGTTCTGCTTGGCTACCCCTAATCAGCTCACTTTACAACAAAGGCTTCCCCGCATATATTTTTTTTTCTGTACCTTTCAGATCTCTAGCCTGAAGAACTGAAGAGTACAGATCTGAAGAACTACTGAGGACAGATCTCTTTTCTCTTTTGTAGCTTTTCTCCCCCCCCCCTTCCAAAAGCATATTCATTTCAGTTTATGCTTCCTGGAGCCACCTGTAACTGACCATTCCTTTCATCTCCCAGACTCCCAGTCCATGACTCCTGGATTTGCTTTCCATCCATGGGGAAAGTGACCTGCTCCCAGCACAACAGCTTAACACAGTGTTATTTCACACTTCACCAGAAATCTCTCCGTGTGTAACAAGGGTTTCTCTTGCCTAATTCTACCCCAGAGAACAGTGTATCCATCTGACCTATTTTAGACTCGTGCTTCAAAATGAGGTGATCTGATCCCTAAAACATCTTCTCATGTGCTGTGAGGAGAAACCGAGGACACTTGGGTTGTCTAGTCTGGAGAAAAGAAGGCTCAGAGGCAACCTCATTGCTCTTTGCAGCTTCCCGAGGAGGGAAATGGAGAGGGAGGTGCTGGTCTCTGCTCCCTGGTAATGAATGATAGGATGCATGGGAACTGCAAGAAGCTGCACCAGGGGAAGTTTCAGACTGGGCATTCAGAAAATTTCTTTAGTGTGAGGGTGGCCAAGCACTGGAACAGGCTTCCTGGAGAGGTGGTTGGTGCCCCATGCCTGTCAGTGTTCAAGACGCATTTGGAGAATGCCCTCAATCAATAATGAGTTTTAACTTTTGTTTAATCCCGAAGCGGTCAGGGAGTTGGACTTGTTGATCTCTGTAGGTCCCTTCCAACTGAACTCTTCTCTTCTCTTCTCTTCTCTTCTCTTCTCTTCTCTTCTCTTCTCTTCTCTTCTCTTCTCTTCTCTTCTCTTCTCTTCTCTTCTCTTCTCTTCTCTTCTCTTCTCTTCTCTTCTCTTCTCTTCTCTTCTCTTCTCTTCTCTTCTCTTCTCTCTTCCATTTACAATGGGAAACTAGCCTAGTTATACGTAACTTCAGTCTAGATGTCTATATTTCATTGAACAAAATTAGAGCATTATTTCTCAGATTACACATATGATGATTATGCTAAACCAGCAGTTGAACAGTAGTCCATGAATTCTGAAGTCTATGGACGTCAGCAGTCCATGACAGGTATAAAAGAAAAGCAAATTTGTAAATGTTATATAGCAATATAAATTGTAACAGCTCTATGAGAAAGCACATATATTTAACAGAAAGGGGTAGCCAGAGAGGTCTGCTTAGCTCAGCCGACTGTGACATGAGAAGCACATCTTGAAGTAGTAGCTTTAATAACCACCCAAAATGGCAGTTTTTGGAAGTGAAATCAACCCCAAAGATGAGCAGCAACCTAAGGTCACAGTAATTACGTTCATGAAAGAAACAAAGAAACAGAGACAAAGAGACAAGAAAAAATGATAAAGGTATCTATGATAAGGCTCTATGTGAGTTTTCTACTCAATAAAATATTTTATTTGAAGCAAGTCACATGCTTGAAATACTGCAATTTTTTGTTCTAAGTAACTGAATTACTCAGTAGCTGAAGACCTTTGGGCTCAATCACGCTGCTCCTGAAGCTAATTTTGTGGCTTGGCCACTAATTCCAAAGACTTCTAGAAAGTGCCATAGCCATGAAGAACCCAAACTTTGACAACAGCTTTCACAATGCCAGTTCGTCTGTCGGTGATCCCAAAGATGTGCCACACAGTTTGAATCAACCCCATTCTCCAGAAGGACTTGTTTTGGGTTGAGCAGAGGCTCCCTGTGAAGCAGTTCCTCAGAACCCAAGCCTCCTTCCACCCTGGAATATCTTGTTCTCCTCTAAGCCTTTTGGGGCACCTCTTGGCATGCCCGCTTGCCTTGGCTAAACTTCTACAACGCCTCAAGAGGCCGGAGGGCTGAGGGCCACGCTCTGTCAAGCCTTTTCACCAAACCCTCTGCTTCTTCCCCAGGTTTTATACCCTCTGCGAGTGGCAGCGGGCGGCAAGGCTCCCACAGCGGCTAAGCCATGGGTCGCCTCCCGCCATGCCCACCTCGGTCCCCCCGAAGGGTGCCATTTTGGGGGTACGGCTGGACCGAAGGGTGTCATCTGCGGGTACGGCCGGGCTGAAGGGTGCCCTCTCGGGGGACAGCGACCCACCCCTGTCCCCTCGCCTCTCCCCGCTCCCTCACAGCGGGGGTGCCGCGGCCCGGCCGGAGCGGGCTGCCATTAGCATTCAGCCCCGCCGCCATGCCGCGCTGCCAGCAGCCCTGCGCCGGCCGTGCCTGCACGCTGCCAGCGCCGCCGTGCCGCCGGCTGCCGGGGGGGCAGCGGGGGAGGCAGGGGGAAGGTGCGGTGTCCTAGCGGCCCCGCAGCCCGGGCGCTTTCTCCGGGAGCCCCCGCTCCCTTCCCCATTCTCCCCGCCGCCGCAGGGGCTAGCAGGGGGAAGGGGGCGCTCCCTCGTCCCCCCCCCCCCCCCGTTTTCAGCACAAGGGGAGGGAGCGGGGGGGAGTTCATCGGCACAAACAAGGAGCGCAGGACCCGCTTCCTCCCCCCCCTCCTGCTTCCCTCGGCGATAAATCCAGCCGGGCTATGCATCGCGATGGGGACGCGCTGCCGCCTTCCCCGCGCTGAGGCGGCGGCTGCTGCTGCCGGGGGGGCCGCCATCCCCTCGGCGGGGACAGAGCAGCCGCCGCGGGGGCTGCCCGGCCCCCGGCGAGGGAGCAGCCGCCGCTGAGGCCGCCCTGCCCTCGGCCGGGGCCGCCGCCAAGGGCCGGGGGGAGCCCGAGCCGCTGCGACACGGGAGGGAGGACGGGGCTCGGCGCGCAGGGAGGAGGCGCAGCGGGCATGCGCCGGCCGAGCCGCTGACTGGATCCTCAGGCGAGGTACCGAGGCGAAAAAAAAAAAAAAAAAAAAAAAAAAAAAAGGAAAAATAAATAATAATAACCCTACAGGAATGAGGGAGAGAAGAACGGAACGCGGCGGAGGAAAGCGAAAAGGGGCTTAAAAAAAAAAAAAAAAAAAAAAGGATAAAGCAGCGCTGGAGGAGCAGCTGTGGCATGTGGGCACCGCCGGCACCAACAGGTAGGAGGAGGAGGAGGAGGGCAGGGGCTGGGGAGCCGGGGCTGCCGCAGCCGCAGGTGCGGGGACCCCCCCCGGCTCGGGGATGGGGTCCGGGGGGGCGCTGAGAGCCGAAGCCCGCAGACAAAGCCCCGGCTCCCCGCCGCGGGGGGCTCCCGCAGGGCGCCGGCAGCTGCGGCTGCCAGGCGGCGGCACCCGGGCGGCGCGGCGCAGCCCTGCCCGGCATGGCCGCGGGTGGCGGGCGGCCCTTCCCCGGGGGGTGCCGGCGTATGTGGGGTGCGTGTGGGGTGCGTGGGGCTTCGTGGGGTGGGGGCGAGGGGAGGCAGGGCCGCCCGGGCGGCGGGGACGGCTCCACAGAGGAGGGGGAAGCGGCAAAGGGGGGGGGGGGGGGGGGAAGGAAGGTGGGGGGGGGGGAGGGGGAGCCTGATTTCATGGTTTTAAAACGATGCCATGATCTGATCAGCCTCTGTTTACACAGCAGCAATCAGGCTCTTTTGTGGACGGTAAGAATGGCAGGGTTTTGCTGGGGTTCAGTGGGAATATCCTTTGTGCACACCCGAGGTGGAAACGCTCGGGGTGGGGAGCGAAGGAGCCTGATCATGCCTGCTGTGGCTCCCGTCCCTGGCTCCGGAGGGAGGGGGAATAATAATAATAATAATAATAATAAAAACAACAGCAGCAGACAGTTCTTTAACGTATTTTATTTTATTGCACGAAATGGTGTTCCGGTGAGCTTCACCGGGAGGATTAGTGGGAATCGCGGAGCCCTAATTAGCTAAAAAAAAAAATTAAAAAAAAAATCAATCTATTATATGTTTATTTAAGCATAACCAAAACCAGCCCTCCTGAAAGGATGGGCATTGTATCTTGGGTGTGTTGCCTGTTTTTTCTCAGTATTTACATCGAGCGTTGCTTATTCTGAATTATGTTGAGGCTCTAAAGATTTGCATTAAAGCGGGGAGGGGGGGGACCCTAAAGCATAGTGCTATCGCCTGTCTGGCATACCTGTTTATTTGGAAGCCTAAATGATAAAATTATGGCTTATAGGAGGAAGGGAGGGGAATAATGAATACTGTTTCTCTTACAATGTGCATGAACCAACACAGTGTGATTAATGTGCTTTGGTGACTTGGGTTAAAAAACATAAATTCTGCAGGGTTTCTTTGGGTGTGATCCGTATCAACACAGCAGCTGCCTCTAAAACATTGACAAATACTGTAGCCGTAAAATAAATATAGGTAATGTCAAAATATCAGCAGCCTTTGGGGATTTTTAAAAAGATGTCAGTGATTAACTCTTGGGCTTGCAAACTAGGAATCTTTTTGATTCATAAAATCTCCGAGGCTTTAACTGTAAAATTATATATGCTGCCGAATATAAGGGGCACTGGTCAGTTCTGAAACTGTAACGAGCCAAATCTGTGAAATGCCAATAATCAAACATGCTAAACAGTAAGTACAAAAAAAAAAAAAAGCCTCGGGATTTTTGAAAACAAACAATAGTACTCAAATTTACAACTTCATTTGCTTCTCCATAAATTAACATCTTTGTTAGCACTTTCTGACATCATTTCTTGTTAACTTAAGAACTGATAGCTCGATTTTTTTTCAGATATTTTGATGGCATGACAAATCAGAAAGAAGAGGATGTACTGTATGACTAGACACCAGATCAGTTCTGTTTGTGGATTACATTTTCAGTAAGATGTATGGATCTATTTTTTCCTTGTTCTTATATATAGATCATGAGACTTGACTGAGGCAATATACATATCATCCATCCATCTATGGCGAACTACAGCCATGCAGCTGACAACATTTTACAAAATCTCTCTCCTTTAACAGCTTTTCTGAAACTGACTTCACTGGGTTTCATAATAGGAGTCAGTGTGGTGGGTAACCTTCTGATCTCCATTTTGCTAGTCAAAGATAAGACCTTGCATAGAGCTCCTTACTACTTCCTGTTGGATCTTTGCTGCTCAGATATCCTCAGATCTGCAATTTGTTTCCCATTTGTTTTCACCTCTGTAAAAAATGGCTCTACTTGGACGTATGGGACTCTTACTTGCAAAGTGATTGCCTTTTTGGGGGTTTTGTCCTGCTTTCACACTGCTTTCATGTTGTTCTGCATAAGCGTCACCAGATACCTAGCTATTGCCCACCACCGTTTTTATACAAAAAGGCTGACCTTCTGGACTTGTTTGGCCGTTATCTGTATGGTGTGGACCCTCTCTGTAGCCATGGCTTTCCCCCCAGTTTTAGATGTGGGCACCTACTCGTTCATTAGGGAGGAAGACCAATGCACTTTCCAGCATCGTTCCTTCAGGGCTAATGATTCTTTGGGATTTATGCTTCTTCTTGCCCTCATCCTCCTAGCCACACAGCTTGTCTACCTCAAGCTGATATTTTTTGTTCACGACCGCAGGAAAATGAAGCCAGTCCAGTTTGTTGCAGCAGTGAGCCAGAACTGGACTTTCCATGGTCCTGGAGCGAGCGGTCAAGCGGCTGCTAATTGGCTGGCTGGATTTGGAAGGGGTCCCACACCGCCAACCTTGTTGGGAATCAGGCAAAACGCGAACACCACAGGCAGGAGAAGGCTACTGGTTTTAGACGAGTTCAAAATGGAGAAGAGAATCAGCAGAATGTTCTACATCATGACATTCCTCTTTCTGACCTTGTGGGGTCCCTATTTGGTAGCCTGTTACTGGAGAGTTTTCGCAAGAGGGCCTGTAGTACCAGGGGGATTTCTAACGGCCGCTGTCTGGATGAGTTTTGCCCAAGCTGGAATCAATCCTTTTGTCTGCATTTTCTCCAACAGGGAGCTGAGGCGCTGTTTCAGCACAACCCTTCTTTACTGCAGAAAATCCAGGTTACCAAGGGAACCTTACTGTGTTATATGAGGGAGCATCTGTAAATCTTTAGCCTTGTGAAACACTACCATTCTCTGCTAAGCAATTGTGGCCTGTAGCCATGTCTTGAGAAGAAAATCAAGAATGGGATGTCAGCAGTTGTAAGGATTTGGGCAACATTCTGCAGTCTTTGCAATAGCTCACCTCTAATCCTATTTTAAACCTAAACATGTTCCTGCTGACCACTGCTGAAGGTTTGTAATTAAGAACAAAGGACTGAACTACTGCCCTGAATTCCTTTATGTGGTTGAAATCTAGATTATGAAAGTAGCAGGTGCTAAGTATCAGTGCTAAATGCTGTGTATATCACTACATAAAATAAGACCATCAAAAAGATTAGCATTGGACATCTTAATAAATTAAGTTGATATGAGGTTAATGTGTTGATAAAACTAATTTTAGACATCTGAAGACCTTTAAAACATTTCATACAATTATTGTTTTGCAAAGACTGAAAACTGGGGACTCAAGTACTGTAACTGATTAAAGATGTGCCATGCATTATTGGATTATCACACTTACAAATCTGTTTGCCTTGTGAGTAAGTTTTGGGGAGCATTCCAAAGCAGTATTTTTGTTCGGATTTAGACTTTACTTTTTTTTTTCCTTTCTTTTTTTTTTTCCTTTTTTCTTTTTCCCAAATATATTACTCTTTCTAAATACCATTTTCCTTAACGGTGAAATTACTAACATTTAACTATATTCTGTGGGTTTTGCTGATTTGGTATAAAGTTTAATAGACTCTTATTTATATTTTTTAAAAAGCTAGATATCAGTCTGTTAGGCAACGTTAATGATAATATCCAGTCATAATTGAACAGTTATAATTATACAGAATAAACACATGTTGCCTTAAAGGGTTATCTAGTATCTTCCATTTTGTTTAGCATTGAAGCAAATAAGCAAGGAAAATTGAATCAGTAACTCTGGTCAGTCATTTGGGAGTGCATGAGAGATCACTTAGTCCTCTTTTTTCCTTTTTACTCCAATGGTTCCCAAAATCAGTATGCACATCACTGGGATGATATGATTTTTTTCTAGGTGTGCCGCCCTTTCTAGTTTGTTCTGAGAAACACAGGCAGTTGATGTATGTTTATATTTTAAGACAGCTGTCATGGGGAGACCGCAGCCTTAGTATGATATCTTGCACAATTTGTGAAGCATTTATTCTACTGAAGGCACAGTCTTGTTTATATTTTCTGCACATTTTGGTGTATTGGTTGTTTTAAATTATTTAAGTTTTAACTTGTGAAAGCATATAATATGATTTCTTAGTATTTTAGAAATACATTAGAGTCTGTGAGTCTTTCCTTCTTTAAGATACAGATGTGTGGATTTCAATATAAAGTTGCATTTGCCAAAATTTACCTGTGTAGCTTGTTAATTTTCTTGGAATAAAATTTTACATTTTTCCAGTTATACAATTAACCTTTTTTATTTTGTCTAGTGAGCTAGCATGAAGTACTGAGAATGTAGCCATTATGAATTATTATCCTTTGCAGTCACTGTATTCCCAAACTGTAAATGCATGAATGATGGGGACCACAGGATTGATAAATGATATTATCTACAGTAGCACTATTGTGTAGTTTATCATAATTACCCATCTATCTGTTCTAATATGTCAGTTATATTTAAAGTTACAACACAGTATTTGACATTAACTTCACGGTTTAATTTTGGAAAATGTGTATATTTGAAGCACAACATCATGAGTCAGTCGATCGTAAAGAACATTGATTTTTTTCTTAATTTTTTTGGAGAGACAAGACTAGAGGTCTTAATTCAGTATTGGTGTATCTTGTTCTTTGTTGTAGTTTTATGACCAGCAAGTTAATATATACATACACGAGCAGCAGTCAATAATGGAAATGCTTAAATTTGTATGATAACATTATACAACATATGCAACAATTCAGAGAGTTGTGTCTATATGTGATCAGACAACTTGATCAAAGATTTAGTGAGCAATCTGTTTGACCTCACTTACACTTTTATACTGAGGTTGATTGGTTGAGAGGCATGGCTTAATATACTGTGTTGAAACAGAAAACTTGCTGAAATACCGAGTCCTCATCAGTACAAGGATGTTTCAGAACGTAATTTGAAACGGGACCAATAAACTTCCACCAAAAGGACTTTTTTTACTACACCGGAAAAGGCTTGGAAATTAAGGTAGTTAAGCAATTGTCAAAGATAGCAGGAGTGCATAAAAACCGAATCGTACGTTGAGAAAAATTCTGAAAGTTATCCCACTTAAGTTTATTAAAAGGTTGATTGGCAATAACTTCAGTCTAATTTCTATAAAATAGTAACCTTTACAAGGAACATTGATATTACATATTGTAATAAAGAAGTACATATAAATAAAGTTGTAAATAGTGTTATAGTTGTAGAAGTAGTCGGTTCTGAGGATTAGCCAGAAAATTTTCAACTATGAAATTTCACAAGCTGCAAATTTGGGGCCTGGCCTAGCTCCTAATAAAGTCAGTTGGCGTTTTCCCGTTCACTTCATTTGGAGCAGAAGCAGGCCCTCACGTTTCTATAGTACTATGCTTCTGAAATACTAAGAAGGCTGTATTTACTATGCAGTGGGAAAAGGAAAAAACAATTTAAAATTATTTCCCTGGAAGTTTTGCAAGCAGTAACTGATGTAAATTAAAATAATAAACAGTAAACAAGTCTGAAAGCAAATATTTTGCTAAATGTTTTTCTTTTGATATGAACATAATTCCTTTGACTAACTGAAAAATACACGAGTGTATTGCTACCTGACAGGGGAAGACTTTCTCTTTCTTAAGTGAATTTTTATACTTGTTCCATTAAGAAGTCTTGTGACAGATGTAATTCCTTTTATTCTCTCCAGTGTTAAAAGAACAAGGGGATGTGCAGTGAAGTTAAAAGCCAACATGTGAAGTAACATGCCATGCAAAGTTATTACTCAGTGGAACTCACTGGCGCAGGATGTCCGGTACCTTAGAGAGGTTCATTACATGTAGACATGAAGTAAAGCAGTGCTTGCAGGTTCTGCCACGGGTGCCATTTGATCCTAGTCAGCACATCAAACCTCATGTATTGGGGGATGAATTCCAAAGAGCAAGAAGGTTCCTTCCAGCTCAGTACACGGTTGTGTCACAGAATGAAAAGCTCTCTGCTCTCATTTTAGTACAGGAGTGAAATTGGTGTCAAAGCTTATGCAGGGCTGGTGGGTTACTCTTCTGTTTCAGAATAGCAAAGAATATCACAGTGTTTTATGTCTGCGTTGATCTTTGATTCTCATGGGTTATGTGATGCTAGTTGTAATTTTCCTGGGTAAGAAAAAAAAAGAGTAATAACAGGTGCCCTCGAGAAAAGACTGTCTGCCCCTCTTGCTTTCTTGCCCTCTATTTGTGCCACTGGCCCTTTGGCAACCTCTCCATCAGTTCTTCTTCAATGTGAAATATTTCATATATTGAGTCCTGTATTTCTTCTACTCCAGTGCTCCTTAAGAAGTATCTCAGCCATCCCCACTCCACAGCAGATAAGAGGAGCCCACTTTCCTCGATAGTAGTTTCTTACAGCAGCTTCCCAAGGTTTGTCAGTGTCTGGGTTCCCTCCTAAAGACAGAGAGAGGCCACTGGTTCCTTCCAGTTGCCCTCCTGGGGCCATTATGGCATGATGCTTGGCTAGCACACTGCCTATCTTGCCTTTTGGCTTTGGTCATGAAGTAGTCACTGTCTATGTTATGCAGAGAAAAATGCATACTGGCGAGAGGGCAGCAGGAAGCAATTTCCCCTCTCCCAACTCCTTCATAAAGAAACCACAGTTATTGTTGCATTGATCCTCTAAATGAATAAAATGGACAGTTAGCAAATTAATGCAAGGTTTTTGGTATAGCCCTAAAATATTATTACACAATGGTTTTCAGGCAGTCTCCAGGCCTTGAGGGCAGAGCAGCCTGCTGTATCCGTCTCCTTTTAAGTGCATTGAGTTTGCTCACTTGTATTGTCTGTGCTTTGCCTTCCAAGCATGAGAACATTCTACTTATATTAATCCGAGCCCAGTATTGCAGCAGGCTGCTATTATTCATGGGTTTAATAAATAAAGTCAAAGGGAAGTCTGGTGGTTTTTGAGGTGAATTAAAGACGTACTTTGACTAATACTTGTTTTTTTAGCAAATGTTGAATAAAACTACGGGTTGCCAGGCTCTTCCGTAGTTACACAGTCAGCTGTCAATTATTGAAAACAGAAATGGTGTAGACTAACTTGCATAAAACATAGGTAATACAAAGCATATGCACGCTAGCCTCTAAGGACTTCCTGTGTTTATTACATTTCTTGAGGAATGAAGTTAAGCTGAACTAAAAAGCTGCAGGAGAAATTCAAAGGAAAATGGTGGGTGTTTTTCCTTTTATTTCTGCTTTGTTTTAGCATAGCCCTGCTAATCTGCAACCTGGGTTACACACCCACAGACAACCAGGAGTTGACTGTACAGTTCTGCATACCACATAGACAACTTCCCTCCAGTTTATACTCATTGAGAGCTATGGAAGTGCACGCTACTAATCTGATAGACTTTTCAGAGAAAAGAGGAGTCTCATCCTGAGATACAGTATTCTTCAAAACTCAAATTCAGTGTATGCCCTCTGCTTTTGTTTACTGAAGTGATTTTGAGTGTGAAGAAATCAGTGATCTAAATCAGTAATGATCATAAGCGTTCTCTGGCTGTGTCCATTAACAGCAGGATGAGATGACATTTTGCGATGCATATGCCAGCAACAAATCAAAGAGTTTGATATTACACACCATGACTTTCCTTGAGTGGCCTGAAAATAGCTCATGCTTATATTTAGAAAAGATACGATGAAGCTGTCCATTTAAATGGATAAAGTCTGTAACTAGCCGGTATCAGAAAACAAAGCAAAACAAAAAGTGAATTTTAAAGATTGCTCATTATAAATAGCAAAGAGTTTTTGTGGTGTTTTTTTTTGTTTATCTGAACTGTGTAATTACATAAGTATATGATGATCAAAGGAGTGCCACAGTAAATAAGTCAGAGTTTTAATAGTCTAAAGAGGAAATAAGTAACAACAAGCCATTTGAAGTAAAATAAATGTAGCTGACCATGTGTTTCATAATACTTAGGAAACAAAGCAATAATTGAGATTTTCACTACATAGTGATTTTGCGTACCCAATGCATTTAAAAAAAAAAGTCATTAGACAGTGAGGTGACTGATACAGTCCAGTGAGACTTACTCTTCACATCACAGCTTTTGTACTATGCACTACATTTAATGAGCATGAGATTTGAAAACAGAATTTGTCTGATATAATCGTCAACAAACTGCATTAGCTACAATAAAACTTCTCCAAATATTAGGTAAATTACTGTCTCCAGAGATTATTCAAAATTATCCCTGTGCTAATTTAGGAAAAGTCTACTTCACCTTTGTAAAAGAGCCATCTAGTTAAAGATGTTTTTTCCATCCTTTCATGTGTTAGTCAAGACAGCTTCTTCTGTAATGTGGAATTAAAAATACCAAGTTTGAAAGGATACATCTGATTTCCAACTATTATGCCACCTATCCATGGTATTGTTGTCATGTTTTAAGTAAACCCACAAGGTCTATGGTTGAAGAATGTAAACAGTCACTTAGAAAACAAACAAACAAAGCAAAACTCAATGACATGCTTCCAGTTCATTCTCTCTCCTATTTGCATGGAATGCTAAAATTTCAACTTTAAGAATTTGAAGGCAAACTCTGAAAACAAGCATGTTGAAGGGGAGAGAAGGCAAGCCAGAAATACATTTGTTGAGGTTATCCTCACAAAGAAGAAGGTTATCATGTGTGTATTGCATTTTCTGCATGGTTTTAGTCTATCAGCTTGCCCAAGCTTTGCCAATGCATTTAAGCAGCATAGGTTGAATTCTCATGCTACCATCAACTACAGCATTTCCAGACCCCTTTTATTTTCATTCTATAACTGTAATGCTCAGGCATGTTATCATTCTTATGCAAACTGAAGAAATTGCTAAAAATAGAGTTTTGCACTACAATAATTTTGGAGGATCAGCTTCTTGAGACAGTCTAAGAGCAGGGTACCTATTTCTGATGACTCCTTTAGGCAGCAGCCTGGAGGATACAACAAAGTTTTAACCCCTGTTCACGAGCTAGCTAAAGTCCTGCTGTCCCTCAGTGAAACCACCTCCCATGGAACCGGCCCACCTCCAGCCTGTGACCCACTTCCATGCTGAGATTAAGTAGGACTTCATTTGTGCATACCCTGAGTGTTAATGGGTGAAACTGAGCAGGGAGCAGAAATGCCTAGACAATATTCATAGGCTGCAGATAGATGATGCATTTGTTTTCTCAAAACAGAAGTAACAGAAGAAGGAGAGGCCCAGAGGTAAACATTTTTGTGAGCTGGTTGGTATTTCATGCCCTGTTGCCCCCTCAGCAGTGGCTGAGATCTTCTGGTTTACTCTTGATTTTTTATTTTCTATTTTTTGGAAAATATATTCTATCTCTGCCACTCTACTATATCCCACCCCTTACAAGTTGATTTTATGCTTAATCAAGTTTGTATAGTCTTTACAATACATATTTAGTAGTAAAACATTCGTAGCTTTGCACTGATTATGGAGATATATATCAGTGTAAGTGCTTGCCCATTTCCATAAGCAATTCCTGTGTTACAGGCACACAAATCCTATTTTTGAAATTAAGGCACTCTACAATTATGCGTTTCCTGAATTCTCTGTTAAGGCCCTTAAGCTTTGGAAATTTCTCCTATTTGATCCAAAACACTCAATGCAGATTATTATGGCACACCGCAGGGAACATTCGATCTCTCTGACTGCAGGACTGTTTGGACATCATGAAGACTGGAAATGTATATTTAGCTCCTGTGTAATAATTTATGGTAATGACTGAGCAATAGAAGCGATAGTGATGGGGCTCCTAAAATAACATATTTGGGTAATTGCAACTTTTAATCGTAAGACATCCAGAACAAAGGAGAAATGCTCCTTTTGTAAGATGATTATGTAAATGAAAATTAAATACACAATTAAATGCAGTTCCATAGGATTTTGATTAACATATTCTGTCAAAGCTACAGCAAGATGGACATAAAAAAAAAAGAAGAAAAAAAGAAAGAAAATAGAGTACCATTTGACATGTAATCCTTGTAACTTTGGCTATATTCTTGCAATCCCTACTCAAGGAAGAAATTCCCTCTCTTTTGTGGAAACTTGTCTCAATAAAGTCTGTAAGATCTTGATAATTTATGTAAGCGTTCATGTTCTTTACTTGACTAGTTCTCAGCGAGAGCATGGTACAGCAGGTCTTGAACCATAATCTGTGTTGTACTCTATGTGCAAAGCTAATCTTTTGATTGCTTTCAAGAGGAAATGTGTATGTGTATTTATGGGCTTTTCTCAGGCTCTTTGATGGATTGTGGTGTAGTTGCTTCCAAGCAGTGGGGTTTGAGCCCATGGGGAAGGCACGGAGCATCACACTAGAGCATGACAAGTGAGTATAGAAACAGGTGCAAGGAAGGTGAGGGACCTGTGCTAATAGGAGTAGATAATGCTTTTGGACTTTTTTTTTTGTAAGTTCCTGTGTGTTGGTACGGGTATCTGCAGCAAGGTGGAGTGGAATGCTGCTGCCCCCACCTCTTTCCATAGGAGCAGACTGGAAGTAGTACACATTATAGGTTGGTTCCTGCCCCAGGCAGCTGGTGTGGTCGTTTTGGTCACTAAACCCAGCAGCATAGGGATTTAGCCCAGGTGGATTATTTGGTCGCAGTCCATGCTGTTCGAATGTGTGAAGCTTGTTTTTCTTTCAGTGTTTGCTGTGAGTAGTTTCTGGTTTTCATAGGTAAAAAAAGAGGAGTGTGTAAAGAGAATGAATGGGCAGATCAAATCCTTTTCAGTACAACCTTTGTGTGAGGAATTTCAAAAGGATGGAGATAGATGTGGAAGTCCCTCATGGTTTTACCACAGCTCTGAGACAGTCTTGTATTTCAGCTTAGTTAGCATATATGCACACAAGGGACTGAAGTGATCGGTCCCCATCAGCATTCAGTCTCTTCCCAATGTAAATCTCCAAAAAGACAGAACACCATTTGTGGACACTCTTTTATACAGATGACCTTCCTCTAAGAGGCATGTTGTCGCAAAAGATGAGATTTATTGTATTCTTTTGTATTGGAGAAAATTCAATATTGTATCTTTTGGAATAAAATTTCATGTTATATTTGCTTATTAGCATACCAACTAAAGGCAGTGTTACAAAAAGAGTCCATTGCCCTCTTTGAACTAGGTGAACCATAAGTCTAACTGGTAAACAGTATCAGCAGGGATATCCTCGTCCTTTGGCATCAGATAAATGCTGATATGTTAGCAGTCATTGCAATATTTTACTGTAAAACCCCTGAACAGGTTAATTTCCCACTTTGACATTTTCCTTACACAAACATCTTCATCCCCTTTCATACAGAATGGGCTTGGTAAATATGGATGCTTTGGGTGGTATTGACATCTCAGCCATGCCATCTAAGGACAAGTGCTAAATAATTTATTAATTGAAAGTTCAGAAGAGGCTGTGTAAAGCAACAAAACAAGCTATGTTTTCTTAAGTTGTGTTTGTGATCCATTAAACATTGGCTTTGGTACCTGGGTATTGACAGACCTAGCATACAAACCTGATGCAAAATTAGAAATCAAGCTGTCAAGATAATTCCTAGTCATTGAGTATAACTATGAAATGCTATTGTTAGGTGTATTCTAATGGACTGATTCTTTGCAAATATTCACAAAGTCCGTATGATAAGACACGGATAGAAAAGCCTTGGCCATATTGAACTTAGTAATAAAATGCCTGTTGCTTTCAGTGAAGTCTGAATGCTGTGCATAAACCTTAATTTCCAAAGATGACAGATTCACTTGTGCATGCCCAGCATGTCTAAGAATGGAATTTTTAAGGCCTTGACCGTATTCTTAAGCATTTTGGTTCTCTTTTCTTCATGACAAGGTTTTGTATGATGCTTGCTGCAATGAAATCTGAACTCCCTTTGTAATTTGTGTTTATATAACCATGTTGCTTAATAGCCTCATTACGGACAAGTACCTCTTTGTATTAGGTTCTGTGAAAAAGCAGCCTCTGTCTAAAAGCTTACAATTAAAAGATAACAGAAGATGGGTACAGACGAGTGGGCTTCCAAGGAAATTATGAGACAGTGTTTGTTGGTAAGCATGATGGGAGAAGAGATCCCACAATACTCCATCTTTTTTTTTATCTTTTTTTTTTCCTTTATTTTTTATTTTTTTAAGGAAGAGAGGGAGAGAGATGATGGAAAAGGGAAGTTTTCAAAGGATTGAAAAATAACAAGGGGATGGGTTCTCAGCAGAGAAAAGCAGCTTGGGAGAAAGTACAAAGGCTGTTTCCTGAAAATGTAATTGTCGGTGATAATTGTCAGTGATAGCCTGTCAACATGAGCAGATCAGAACCTCTCGATAAAGAAAGAAAGATGATAGGCCAAGAAGAGCAGAAAGAAGTGGCAGTGAAGCTGAATGAGGGACAGAAAATAACTGCTGATCCACAGCATTAGGTAGGAAGAGGTCATTAGAGGTCGTGTTGAAAGTAAGGCTCAATGAAAACAGCTGGGGAAAGCCAAGGAGATTGACACCAGGTACTGACTGCAGCCAAGGAGCTTAAAAAGCAGAGGTAGAATAAGATAGCAGGGTAGTTGCCAAAGTAAGTGGAATATGGAAGTCCAGCTTTTTTTGTTTGCTTGCTTGTTTTTCTTTGCAAATTAAGGAAGAGGCTACATTACCCCTGAGTTGTTACAGGAGGAGTCAGAGGACAGCAAGAAGCTGATGAAGCCAGCAAGAGTGACTGAAGGACAGGTCTGGATATTCAAAGGAGGGATGGGAGGTGAGGCTATCTGAAAGAAAGGCTGGAAGAATGACCAGATTTGGTTGATTGTCCATGAATCAAAGAAAGTAGATGTGCATTTGAGGTCACAGGAGGAGAAGCACTCAGGCAAAAATGGAAAGGCTGAGGAGAAAGGGGGGTGGCATTAGCTAGGGAGTGGGAGGGTGAAAGAAGTGAAGAGCCAGGAATGAGGGTCACCTAGACAGGAGCAGGTTGCTGTAGTCTCTTCGAGGTTCCCCTTACCAATGACTTTGTGCTAACCCATGGCAAATAAAGCAATGCCAAGGGTTTCCAACATCAGTGATGTCTAGGCAGCAGTGGTGCTAGTGCTTGTGTAACTGCTGTGGTCCCAGTGTGGCAGCAGTGGTCCCAGTGTCTTGTAGCCACTATTATATCCAAGTTCAGCAGGAGCTTGAAGAAAAGCAGAATAATATCCATCATTTTCCATTCATTCCTTTTTAACATTGTAACAGGATTTTCTGTTCTACTTCCATGTTCCTTTTCTTTCTCTTTTTGTAATGTTACTCTACTAAGAAAAACTACATGTTCTTCATAAGTGACACTCTGTATTTAGAGTATGTTGGGCCAGCAATTTTGATAACTTTCAGACTGAATGATAGCTTTTCTGAACAGTGAAAGTGCAGCTCCTGTGCAATTTGAGAGCACTGCAGTGTTTTATTATCATTATCTCCCATAATGGTGGTATCTTGGTCTGGTGAAGTGACCATTAGGATGAAAGCCAGTAACTTCCAGGTTCTCATTGCAGCTTTGCTGCTAACATCATTGCATGGGTGACCTTGGATGATTTATACAGGCCAACTTTCCAGTTATCCCCAGTTAATTTTAAGCATTCCAAGGACAATTGGGGCTCCTAGTGTAAGACACTAGGTGACCAATTTCCAAGGCAATGCAGCACTAATAAGTACAGATTATGTTAGTGTGCTAGGTGTGTAGGTGGTAAAACTGATGAAAAATGTTTTGTTTAGCACGTTGTGCCAAGTCTTGGCCTCCTGCAGGAAATTTCAACATCTTTTCAGATTTTTCCTTCTTGAGAAACTCAAAATATTATGTGAAAAAAAAAAGCTGTTTTCTAACCTCTTCTTAATGATTAGGCCAAGCAGTGTTTCAGGATACAAAAGTTAGATAGCCAGATTATTGGTCAGCTTGAAAATGTATTTGTTGTTGTTGTTGTTTTTGTTTCTTTTTTCCCCAAGCATTTTTTCTGCATAATGTGCCAGTTGAACAAAATGGCTAATAATATAACTTACTTGAAGGATGAGAGAATTAATGAGCTAATGTTTCCAGATTTCTGAAACTCATTACAAATCAGGATTTACCCCCTGTAATTGACAAGGCCATGATAAGAAGCCCATAGCTACCCTAGGCAAGGAAATAGTTGTTAAAGCCTTTTCAGCTAAAAGTTGACGAGACAGTGTGGTGGTCAGCTTTCATTGCTGACGGTAGACTGCAGCCCAAAAGTTTGGAGACAACTGTGACAGATGATTTGGGATGTTCAGATAACCTCATCTTGCCAAGAGATATGTTCATTAAGTTGTCAAAGAACTGAAATGTATGCATTGCCCATCCATCTGGCATATAATTTAAATACAGCTGAATTCCTGACCTCAGATATGATATAAGCATTTCTGAGTAGACGTGACTGATAAATTTGCATAAACAGAGGCTCTTAGAATAAAAATACATTTTAAAAGGAGAGTTAAAAAAAAAAAACACTTCGGAGATCTAGACTCATGACAACATTGATAGATGGTAACATACTCAAATAAAAAAAAATATTTTACTGAGTACTAAATAATATTTTTAAATGTTTGCACAGGATTTTTAGTACAATTAATAAAGTCTCTCTGTAGCCTGAAGAAAGGTGTCAGCAGTTGAAGTGCCTGAAACTGAGATACCGAATTCATCACAATGAGTTTTCTGAGGGCTGAATAGATAATCTGCATGATTTTAAATATTAAAAGCCTTTGTCAGGGTAGATATGCCTGCAAAAATGCAAGCTGGCAGTTACACATGATGAAGGTACAGTTGTCTGGGCAATTCCGTATCTGTGTTACCAAAAATATTATAAATAAAAACAAATATTGTTACCTGATTTCATTTTTTTTTTTATTTACTTTTGCCAGGCAGCAGTACCGTCATCAGTTCAGTGGATTTCAGCGACACCTAACATCTTAATATTTGAAACCCAGTCACACTGATCTGATGCTAGATCCCAAACCTGCAAAGCCCAGGTTGTGTGTGCTGACCCTACAGGAACAGTAGTGCTGTGGATGCTGCCTGTGTCCCCTGGGAGGCTGTGCAAGCAGCCTAGGCCCCCTCGGCTGTCCGTGGAGCTTCAGCAGACAGGCTGATGGTTTGACTGATAGGCTTGGAGAGAGGTTCTCTGAATGCTGCAGGCTTTCGAAGTAGGCACCTAAAGCAGAACCTGAGGTTTGAAGCTGTCAATACCCCTTCAGTCTTTCTTCAGGTCTCTCTGCAGGAACACTGCCGCACTCTCAAGGCTGCATCTAGCAGAAAGGGAAGAATCATCCCTCTCTATCTGTGCAGAAGGGCTGGTGCATGGATTTAAACTTCTACACAAGCAGATGGCAATATTTTCTTTTCCCCTCCCTTTTCTCGGCACGGAGCTCATCACTCTCTTCAAGTCACGAATCTGGAGATATGTTTATCAAGAGAGCTAATAGCAAACCCTCCCTCTGCTGTACAAGCAGTTTAAAGAGTGATGTATTTCTCACACGCTCATGAGCATGCTGAAAGCCTCCTTTGCTCATGGGCACTTCTGAGCAGCCCCTCAGTAGCTGCTTCTGCCAGTGAGGCTCTCGCAGGCACCCATGTCACAGCGTGGGAGGAAATGGCCCTACCTTCTAGCAGATCATCAAAATCCACATGGATTTTAGTAGTTCCACAAGGCAGAAACTTCTGCCAGCACTCAGGTGAAGAAAATGCAGACTTGTAGATACCAGAGGTACAGGTGTTAGGTATTTCTGTTCTGGCCATGGGCCTTTCACCACTTCTTCTGCACAAGTACCACCCCACCCTCTGCCCATTTTTTCCTTTCTCCTCCTACAGTTTCTCCATGCATGGAACATTATGTTCTTGGAGGGCAACAACAGCAGAACTCATATGTCCCTGTTCAACAAAAATTAAGTGAATGTAAATCCATGTCTTGAGCAGTTTGGTGCCCCTGTGCTTGCTTCCAGGTGTCTTGTGGGAGGGCAGAGCTCATTCCCAGGGGACAATTTGCTGGCTTTCCCTGCAAAGACTCCTTAAATCTGTAAGCATTTACAGGATCTGGTCTTCAATCCTTCTTTGTCTTTCAGTGTTAGGCAGGCTCAAGAGCAAGCTGAGGCACAACAGTGCTCCATGACCCTTGTTCCGTTCACTGCAGGTCCTCCAGCTCGCAGTGACCACCCCACAGCACCTCCTACACAAACAGCCAGGTGTTCTGGGGTCCCCCTGGTGGCTTCAGGCTGTGCTGTGGGGATTTCAGTGGTATGAGGGGGTGAGCAAGTGCTTCTGTCCTCGGGAACTGAGGTGGGATGAGCACCCCAGCCAGTGAGGATGCACAGCTTTGTTGTCTTTGCTCAGGCCTCTAAGCCAAGCAGCACACCGTGCAGCAGGAGCTCTCTGAGGGACTCGGGGTGCCGTGGGCACTGCAAGGTGGGCAAAGGGTGGAACTGCCGCAGAAGAAAGAAATGGAAAGCGGTTTCCAGTGTGGATACACAGGTATCAGAAATTTTACTGAAAGCAGGGAGGGTCCCTGGGAGCAGCACGGATGCTCAGAGAGGTGATGTGGAGAGGCTGCAGTAGTCATTGGGGTTTTGGGGAAAGGAGCGTGGGCAGGCAGGCACATTGGGTTCAGTGGGAGACTGCTGCAATGTAACCTTTCATTAGTAGGCATCCTTTAAATTAGGTCAGTTTAGACACAGTCAAGGTGTCTTTGGTTTACAGAGGAATTTGAAAATTACTTAAAAATAAGATAAATGCAGCCAGAAAGCTCTTAAGGAGTATGGGAATCAGTGACAATTGGACCCAGTGATCCCGTCTCTTCCAGGCCAGCTATCAATGCTGGTGCATACCCCAAGGGCAGGACAAGGCAGAAGGAGAGTATGGGAAGCCATAGTTGTAGGAGATGTGTGATTTAGTGCTTTCCCTGCAGCCTCTCTGTGAAATGCTTCTCCTTCACAGAACTCCCAGGGGAGGATGGGAACAGCGTTGTCTCGCACCCTCATTGGGATGATTTCTCTCTTCCCTTTCCCCCATGTGACACAAGCAGGGAAATTAATATTCCAAACCATTAAGCCTGTTTGGTGAAGCTAGCACGTTGTTATTTAAGATGACTGTGATTTTTTAATTGTATTTTTTTAATTGACTCCATCTAACTCAGCATTTGAAAAACCTTGAAGATCATATTATGTGCACAAGCACAATTAATTTGTTTGTTGCAAGGACCCCAGTCATAAAATGTGTAAATCCAAGGCCATCGTGGAATTAAGACTTAAGGTCATTTAAGCAATTCTGCGTGTGAATAAATAACATTCAGCCTCCTGATGCCCAAAAAGTATCCAGGCAAAGCCCACAGAACCGAGGCTTTCAGCACAACACTGCCCTCTGGAGCATTCTGAATCACTCTCATCACAAGCCAAACAAAGGACATAAAGGAGAAAAATAGAAAAAGGCCTTGGTCTCCAATGTAAAAATGAATAGCACAGTGCAATGAGTAATGAAAGCAGCTATACTGCAAAAGCAATGGAAATATAAAGACATTCATCCCCGTCACAAATACCAACAAACATTTTTCAACAGTGAATGGAAGGCAGAAAGAAATTGAGAATTTAGAACAGACCTGGAGAGAATGGCACATAATAACAAAAATGCTTTTTAATTTTGCTCAGAGGTCTTGGCAGAATTCTAACAAAGAAAAATCAACAAGCTATTGGGAAGGAAAAAAATAATTTGCTCTCTCAAAAATCTATTTTAGATGCAGATCTTTTACTGCTAGGCATCCTTTCACATTTTGGTAGTGTTTGTGTCAATGCAAAGATGATATGTTACCTTGTGCTGTCAAGAGCTTACCAAAATAAACCTCATCAACAAGGCATTAAATAATAATATCACCTTTCCCTGAAGTTTTGATATTCTCTGTGATGTACTTATGCATATTTTTAAAAGAACATAAATTATTGATTCCCTCCTTCCATCAAACCTGTCTAACCAGTGAAGTGTATATAGAATGCAGTCCTGTACTGAGCTCTGTTAAAGAACAATCTACAACACGTAATTGAAAGCTTGGGCTTGATAGAAGTGAATTTCTTGAATTTATTAAAGGCCTAATCTTGCAAACACAACCTATAACCAGCAACAGCTTATCGTTGCTGATCCTTCTGATAGCAGATATTATTGTCAGTAATACATGTGTACAGAATTGGATTCAAGGATGTAAGAACCACATTGCAACACCAGCTTCCCAACACAGTATGTTTCAGCTAAACAGAATCATGGAAAAGCTGAGGTTGGAAAAGACGTGGAGATCATCTAGTCTAAACACCAGCTCAGCAGAGGGTCAGGTAGAACAGGTTGTTCATGGCCACATCCAGTCAGCTTCTGAGTGCTTGCAAGGCTGGACAGTCCACAACCTGTTAGGGCAATTTGCTCGAGTAAACACTCGCAATAAAGATTTTTTTTCTCTCATTTTTAACAGGTATTTTCTGTTTTCTGATTTGTGCCTGTTTTCTCTCGTCCTGCCACTGAAGATGGGAGGACCTGTCTTCTTTAATTCCCCAGCCGGGCATTTATTCACGCCAATAAGGACCCTCCTTAAGCAGTCCCAGCTCATCAGTTTCTGCTCTCAGCCTCTTCCCATATGTCAGGTGGACAAAGCCCTTAATTTTCTTTGTGGTCCTTTTCTGGACTCACTGCAGTGTGGCTTTGTCTCTGTTGTACCGAGTGGTCCAGCACTGGACCCAGCACTCCAGATGGATCTTGTTGGCACTGAGCAGAGGGTAGGGATGCCAGCGCTTGACCTGGTGACCAGATGCTGTAGGCTTTTTTTGCCAGAGGGACACATTGCTGGCCTGTGTTCAATCTGGGGTCCACCAGGACACCAAGCGCCTTTTCCACGAAGCTGCTTTACAGCCAGCCCTCAGCCTGTGCCGATGCATGGGGCTATTCCTCCCGAGAGGAATTCGTAGTGCAATTCAACATCATCAGGATAGTAGCTGCCAATGAAAAGAGCTGAAATAATGACTTGGGAGTAAATGACTTGTGTTGTTGTAGTTGAAAGAAAGGTTATTTGAATACCAGTAGACTAAGGGGAATGGATTGCAACAAACAGAAATGGCAAGAAAAGGGAAACAGCCATCCCCTGGTGAGTGAACGTCTGATCATAGAAACAGAGCTCCTGGATGATTCACTCAGGGCTTGATCTAGTAGCTGTTTAAGCCAGAGAGATTTTCCCCAAGGTTTTGGGGCACACTGAATGAAACCCAAATGTATCATGAAGAAAGGAAGAAGTTGCATAACAATCTTTTCTTTTTTTTCTATCCTGCTAATAACAAGCAGGCAGCAGAGTAAGCTTCTACAAACAATGGGAAATTCTGAAGGCATCTCATAAACTGAATTTAGAATACTAAAATGTAAAAATGTCAAGTACAGCTTTAGTTAGCCTCAGCGGTACCTCTGCAATGCAAACAATTAATTATGCACATGAATGTTTGCAGGACTGGTACATATATGGGGAAGGATATTCAAAGTAAATGATAACACAAATTCTATTGTCCTCTCTGTTCCATTCTATTGTCCTCTCTGTTCCATTCTTTTGGGAATAAAATCCAGTTTGGCACTACTGTATTCAAATACATGTTTGAGTGTTTTATAGAGTTGACCACTATGCAAAAAGTGAAGAGAAATGATTATATATTTTATCCTATGAGGCTAGTTATGAAATACTGATGCTAACGTTGCAGTGTATAATAGAAAGTAACAGTTATCAGACTTCATCTGTAGTGCAAGTGTTTAACAGTTTAATAACATGTTTAATTTCACTTCAGATCCAAACAGATAACATGGGGTCAGCTTGGCTGATTTGTGTATCTGTGCATGAAAGACTGGTTTTCCCTTTAAAACTGACTTTTCCAAAACATGAGATTGTAAAATTTATGAGGCAGAAGCTGGAATTCAAGTAAGTTTTGCTCTTCACTGTAAAAACTTGGAATAAAAAGTTTTCAGAAAACATGTCCTGGTTGGATGTGAGATAGGATTTTAATTTAGGATCATGGATTAGGGCCGCTCTTGGAAGATAATTTATGAAGCAGATTTGTCCATTCATACCTTCCTGAAAGTAGAAATAGATCACAGAAATCTGAGATGTTTGTTTTTCATTTCAATATTTTATTAGAAAATCTAAATTTCCTATACAGCATTCAAAAGTTTACTTAATTCACTCTTTTGTAAGTAATTAATCTTAAAACACCAGATGGGAAGATGAAGAGCTCTTTGCCTCCCATACTCCCTGTGCAAAGCCCTGTATATTCAGTGTACAGATGCAATGTAGAAGGGATAAACTTATTATTTGTGAGTGTCCTTACAGAAAAAATAAGTAAATAAATGACAAAGTAGAAAACAGTGATCAGAAATCACCACGGGACTTACTTTGTTTATTTGCATTGATTATACAAGTATTTCTATATCATCCAGACACATTTTAGTGGATGACAGCTTTTTTACTTGAGATCTTTAGGATCATTTCTACTTTAAATACTTTCAGATATAAAATCTTTAAAGCATTCATTGATAGCTTTGTATAGTCAAATTTGTCTTCTTAAGTCAGGCTTTCTAAGTGATAGCATTGTTATCATCATCTAATATTTAAAGGAGCTGAAGGTCTTGTCCTCAAGGATATCAGTTTAACTCCAGCTCTGTGTATGTATTTAGCTAACTCAGAGGACATGATGTGGCTCATAGTGATTAATAACTATGGTCTTCAGAAGCTGGCATCTTCACTGAGGTCTACAGTATATCTAATTGAATTGGCCCCACTGAATTTAATCTTGAGATCCCCAACACACATAAGAATTAAGTACAATTTTAAGTATAGTTATTAAATTATACTTTCATTTGACTAGGAAATATGGGCATGCAACACTTAAGTGACATGAGATGAAAGATTAATAATAACTCCATACAAAACAACTTACAACTTTTCTTTATAAATAGAATGGCAATGTTTAGAAAAGATAGAACAATTATTTAAATATTTACAAAATATAGGCTAAGAGCGAGTCCTTATTCATTGTAAGTCCTTTGGTATTAGTGAAATCAATATACAGTTGGGGATTCAGACTATCATCCAGGCATACTGCCAGTAAACTGAATGACTCTTTACCCTTGACTTCAATAATATGAAGTAGAGAACAAAAATGACTATCGAGATGCCTGTAATTCAGACACTGGAAAGCCTGAATATAAGGCAGCTATGTCATACATGTTGATTCAGTGGAGTGGCAACATACCCTTGGAGGTTATATCAAAGTAACGAGAAAGGGGCACCTACTCAGAGTGCAACCCAGAAGGTCTACAAACTAAACAAAGTAAATAAAAGCTCACTAGTAAGATACAATGGGCACAGAAACCCTCTTCTGACCTTCAGCACCTGGAGGCTTTCCTGTCCAGTCAAGATCCAGAACACAGAATCCTCTCCTGAGGATTTTAAAACAGGACTCTGGGAATGATTAGAGATCTGATAATTCAATCCCTCCTCAGGCTGAAGGAATTCAAACCTTCAGTTGTTTCATGCCACTGGACTACGATATAATCTGTTGAAATGGAATCATTGTTTGATCAGTGCTGTGAGACTGATGAAACCAAAAAGAAAGCAAACATGGTAGAACTTGATGTTATAGCCCAGTGAATATACGTCTTTGCTCAGAGGTATTGCCTTCCTGATAAACAGACTCCTGTATTGTTGCATTGTTGCTGATAATCTTGGACCAGTGTCTGCAAAAAGCATTTATGCTTCTAAAGATTTACTCAAGATACAAACTGATTTTCCTGGTATCGATATCAGAGCAGATAAAGAAACAGTTGGGGGAAAAAAAAAACAAACAAAAAAACCAACACACAAAAATTGTCCTAATAATGGGATTCATGATAGGATTAAGGAATGGTTAATGAATGATTAGTGCCAATCAAAAAAGTTTGAATTAACCTATAAATAGAGATTTCAATATTTCTGATTAAATTACAAATGTTAATTCTTAAAAGCAATATTGATGATATAACGTACTTAGACTTCTGTGCATCATTTGACCTAGACCTGTACAACTTTCTGCTTCAGAAACAGGATACAAAAATAACTGATTAAAGCCATTGAAAACTAGGTAAATGACAGAACTCAGCCTGAAACAGTAGATGGGGAATCTGCATCAAATAGGATTTTTTTAATGGGGGCTTTCAAGGATTTGTTCTTGGCCTCAGATGATTTTGTTTTTTTTTTATCAGTGACCTGGAAGAAAAAAAAAAATCATGACTGAGAAAGTTTACAGAAATTGAGGAGGCAGTGAATAATGGGGCTGACAGATCACTGATACAATTCAGATTGTGCTTTTGACCAGGCACAAACAAACAGTATGCATCTTTCTCATCTTTCTTCAGCTGAAGCTGTTCTTGAAGAACAGGAACTGCATGCTAACCAGCAGTCATTGCAAGGATGACTTGATGTCCTGGTAGATATCAGCCAAATGTAGGCTCCTGGTGCACAAGTGTGGCTGAAGGAGCCAAATGAAACCCTTCAGTGCACAAATAAAACAGTGTGAACAGTAGTAAAGGGGCTGTGTCACTCCACATTGGGTATTGATGTGACTGCCACCAGATAACTGTGACCAGTTTCTGTCCTGGTGAATGCTGAAAAGCTAATCAAGATTTAGGGAAGCCCACAGCAGCACTTAAAAGAAAGTCATGAAAAGACTATTTGGCTTGAAAGACTAAAAGAACTGTTTTATTTGGGGCTACTGTTTAATCCCATCTGGGAAGGAAAAATTCATTTTGCTGACAGATCAGCCTGATACAGGCCAGCAGAAAGGCTGCTGAAAGAGTGACCCTACCACAAGTCGTTGGTGGCTTGGTGGCATGTGTACAGGAAGGGTTAGGGACTGTGGTGCCTCAGTGCTGGGCCCTGTTGGAGTGAGTGGTTCTACACTTGTTCCTCTGGCAAAAGCTTTTAAGGACAGGCAGTCTAAATTAAAGAAAGGATCCCATGACTCGGCTGCTGTCACTGCTCTGCAGTGCCAGGTGGACAAGAGAAAGAGAGAAGGTCAGGTTAGATAATCACCTTACAGTCTTGGTGCTTATCTGAACCTTATGTTTATCATATCCTACCTCAATCATTCGTATCAGCAGAACTAGTTTCTAGCCTCATTAGAACAAACTGTCCTAAAACATTTCATATTTATCACATCTAGTCAAGAAACAATTCCTGGGGAAACTGCATTTTTCCATTATATTTCAGCACCAAGTCTAGAAGTGCACCAGCTTGCAAAAATGAGGATGGGGAAAAATCCTAATTAAATTTCTCTATTAAAATAACTTAGTCCTTAGGGAGGAGGGTGTTAAGGTGTGGACAACAGGTTATTATGACTAAAACGGCAGAGCTGTCACCATTTGTTAGCTTGTAAATGACAAAAATGCAAAAGATAACATTTTTAATGCAGTAACCCACTGAAAGCAACCTTGCTTTTACAGGGCATTTCCCATGCAGGCTGCCTTCCAATCCAAGCAAGCCAGATGAAAGTTTGAGCACTAAATATTACCAGGTGAAATGAATTTGCACGGTAATTGACCTCCTGCAACATGTCACTAATACAGTGTCCTTTCCCCTGGCTGTGGCCTCTAATAGAAGTTTTGGAAGAATATTAACCTGGCTGTATATTATTTTCTGGTTCATTAAATATAATAGCAATTCTGGCAAAGCTTTTTGTTGATGAGAGAGGTTTGGCCTCCACAAGAAAACGTTGTCACAATAGTAGATGCTATATCCTTATCTAATTTACTTACAACCAATGCAATTTTGAATAGAGGTATTAGATGGCAAAACCACAAAGGACAATTTATAATTTGCAGCCTACAAAGCTATCCCAGCCCTCAACCACCTGCTTTGCCTCTATTCCCAAACATTCCTGCAATCCCAGACACCTTTAATGGGTTCTCTGTTGCATATCAGCCCTTGGCTCCTCTTCCCCTGCCATTAGGACAAACTATTTCGTTCTAAAGGTTTAATTCTCCTTTGCCAACAGGATTCTGAGGAAGGAAAAAGCTTGTCATCCTTTTAGTGTTTTCACTCCCATACTTAAAAAAGGCCCTATAAAACAAAAGGGTCCAAGTGTCTGTTTTCAGTGTTTCATCCAGTTTTAAAGCATCTGCTGTTGCCCTCAAAGTATCTCTTTCAGGTCATTTGTAACTGTCCTGGTCTGACGGGCGGTGACAGTTCACCTTTTCTTATCACCCTGCAGATATTTACTCAGTAGTTCAGTGTTTTTTCCCTGGCGTACTAATAAAACACCTGCATTTATACAAGACCTTTTATCCCAAAAGATTTCAACAAGCTCTGCAAGCTGTAAATTTACAGTAGTACTGTACAGGTAATGTAGCTTTCAGTTCAGTACAAAAGACAGTATCCAAAATCTGGAAATCCTGATATTCTAACAAGTGACTGCTGAACGCAGAATTAAAGCAGAGGGTTGTGCATTTTGGAGGCTTAGTCTCAGGTGTAGAGCTAGATTAAATTCCCTGCTGAACCCACACCCAAAAAACTCACCCAGGTTTCCTGTGGGACCTTGGGGAAAGTGCTGGTGCCCAGATCTACAAAGTATCTTGGCACCTGACATGGGACTTCTGTGGAGCCAAAGCAATGAATTTCAGTGGTGTAGGCCTCAAAGCTATGCCTGCCTCCTTCATAAGGCTGTCAACACCTGCTTTTTTGTGTTTGTGGTGATGATGAAAAATTATCAGTAATACCAATACTGCTGCATACCCAGAATTTCAACGATATTGCCTAGACTGGAAAGTTGAGTGTTTATTACACATCCTTACCCACTCAAGACACATATTAAGTGTCCCCACTTAATGTCCTTATTAGGCCAACTCCATGAAGCAGGATTAGGTGAAGCTTAAGGCCAAGTGGCAGCAGTTTAGGTCAGTCTGGATAGAGAGGCTGGAAGGAAACTGCTGTGCCATTGAGCAGATCCCTCGACGTGAAGGGCTGAGGAAGAAGGACCTTGAGTTGCAGTGCAGAGGACATCCACCCTCAGTCCAGACACACCATTCATGCCTCACCCATTAAAAAAAAATAATAATAAAATAAAATAAAAAAATCAGCTTTCTCTCCTCAGACTAGGAGGCTGCATTATACAGTAGCATTCAAAGTCAGGATTATTTCCAAGCTTAAAAACCTAACATATTTAGGATCAGACTTGGCCTCCATCAAACAGATATCTAAAATAAGCAGTCACTTTTTGAATTTTGGCCTCAGTAGCAAAAGTGAGATTTGGATGACACCAAGTTAGAAAATACAAACCTTTATATTGGATTTATGTCACAAGCCAAATGCAAATTATTACTGTTCCTCATTTTCAGTTACCTCTGGCTATTTAATCCATCCTCCACTAATTCTCTTCTGCATTATTGGTCTGGAATGTAGTCTACATGATGAGAATCATTTAGTTGATAGCACTTTAAACTCATCTATAAACAGCTTTTGATGACTAATATGCATTTTTCTGTTCCTGCAATAAATTTGTTTCAAGCAAAAGGAGACTGTTTGGAAACACCTTACATTTCCTGGTAAATCAGCTATTTAATATTTAATTTCAAGCTGTACTGGGAAAGTAAATCTAATTTTTTCTCAGGCTCACATCAGAAGGGAAAAAAAGTACAATAGCCGCAGAAAAATAGACAGATTTTGTATTATTTCAATATGGATATATGTCTTCTCAAGCCATAAAAAGAATAATTTTATATGGCTTTTTTTACATTTTTCCATCTTAGAAGACAGCCACTTTACATTCATTTAATTTGAATTCCTACATGGCCTCTGCAAATAAAGAGAATGAATAACCAAATGGAAAATGCTTTTGCTTACTCCCAGCCCTGGAAGTGATTCATTATTTAAAGCATTACCATTAAAAATGAACCATTTCCAGAGATAACATGAAACAGGTAATTCTTTTACAGGCATCCTTACAACTACAGAAAACGTGAATATTTGTATACTTGTATGCTTTTGAGAGGAATCCTCAGTAATATACACACAAAGAGACATCACAGATGTCTTCTATCCTACATTTTTTATGCCATTCTCATGCTAAATGGCATTAGACTTTAGCATACCTTTCTTTAATATTCTTCTTTTTGTGTTGTACCCAGTCCCTGTTTGCTTTTGCAGTCAAAACCAAAAAAGCCCCCACCTTCCACAGCTTCTTCTGCTATTCAGTATTATAAAACCTCACTACTGCCACTTAGAGATACTGGATTTTACCTTGCTGCTTCATCCTGCCCAAGGACAGAGTGCCTAATTGTCCTGTTCAGCCACGTATGAAGCAATCTGGCCCACAGAGGTTGTACTGAGTATATTTTGTGTTACTGTCAGAGGCTCAATACTTTCTTACTTGGCTGCATGCAGTTGAACCAGGCAAAAACTCTTCAAGGAGCAACAAACTTCCTCAGGCAGGAGCTCAAGGAAGAGAAGTCCTGTCAAACTAAAATATTCTTTCCTCACTTATCCACAAAGGCAGAAGCTGTGATGAGGGAGGATTCCTGATGCAGGTGGGCTGTGCCAGGAGTGCATGTGCAGCCACAGTTATGGGAGGTGCCTGGGGTATGACCAGCATCCAAGAGGGGCAGTAGATCTAAACCACACCATCCAGGTCATTTGGCTGATCACGTTGAGTTTTTTCATCATTCTTGGGATCTCTGTGTTCTAGTCAGAGAGCACAGTAGAGAATTGCATTAGTTAAAATAGTTCTTGAAGCAGACAAGAATTTCAAGCAAACTGCAGACTTAGAGCTTGCCATTAATATTTTCAAAAGGTAATGACTCAGCTCAGTCTTATCACAATTCTGTTGCAAATTCAGATTTCCATCTTTGTTTCTGCTGACTTCACGCAAAGATTTTGCTACTAAAATGAGACTGTGTTTTCTGATACAGGCCCTTGCTTCATGCCAGTCAAGCTTTTGTGCCAGTGGAGTTGCAGGATTGTCTGTGCTGTTCTGAGTACGTTAGGAATGTATACAGGATATTTAGTACTCAGAAAGTACCAAATCAGTTCAAAATGACCTTATCTACTAAGTGGGGATCAACCCCAAGATTAATACCATGCATAGTTGTATGTGCTCTGTGCCCCATGAGGGGCTGGTTTTATTGCTTTATAACACTTCGCAACCACAACCTCTACATTTGCCAACTAACAGCCAATAATCCTTACAGACACATTTTTTTTTTCCATTTATATATGCAAGACTATCATGCATAAAAGCCTACAGCATTCTGTAGATAATTTTAAAGAAAATCCCCTTTCCTTGGAATTCAGTCAGTATCCTGAGCTCTTTTGGCACTTTATCCGAAGGTTGAGATACGGGGTCGTATTTTTAGCTTTCAGGCCAAGTCAAAGAGTCTTACTCATTTTAAGCGGCTGTTTGTGCTCTTCACCGTGAAGTATGAGTGATTCATGGGTTTAGTCCACTTGGGCTCATTTACAGTAATGCTGTACAGAAGCATAGTTTCTTGGTGTAATGAATTTCTCTCTCTTCTCAATAGTCTAATTTGACTGGCATAATTTGACTGACGTAATTGCTGGGCTTTCTATTAAGCAAAATAGAAGTACAGATCATGTATTCTAGTTATTCAGAGGATTCTCAACTCAGATGAGGAGTACCTAATCAAGTTATCATTCAGGTAAATACTACATGTACAAAAGTGACTTTCATTTTACCAGCTGGAATTGATGTGAAGGGGGATTTTTCAGCTCATTTTCATAGTTGCACTGATGAGTTTGTCAGAGTTCAATCAGGAGAGTTATCCACACTCCTACAACTGTGTTGCTATTCTCTTTCACAGTTTTGTCCCATTCTATCATGATAAAACATTAAAAGACAGTGCCTTGTTTATCAGCAGGAGTTTTGTCTTTGCTATTCAAGGGGCATTTTCACTAATCCAAGCAACACGTTTCCCACCTGCAGTCTGCAAGTTGTATGTTTCCTTACCATTTGATGAGAAACCTAAGTGTTGACATTATTTCTGTAACTTTTAAAAATGTGTTTCTTTGTGAACAATAGCTGGTGCCATCACAGTGTGCAACATTCTGGGCCCTATCCCAAACATCTGATACGTTAGCACCAGTCAATAGCTTGCCCTCCCATGCTATTTCCTTTCACCTCTTATGAAGGTAACTCAAAGCCATTGACCCCAAGCAATTTTTACAGTGAATAAAACTGACTATAGAGCAGTCAAGGACTACAGAGTATTTACGTAACATCCTCTATATTTCTTGATAACCCCATACTTTTTCAGTAGTTCCTTATTAAGGCATGAAGTCATATGACATTTTGCCTGGTTAATCAAACAGGAGGTAATCTGTGAAAGCATCGTTCTTGATTATCGCCACACTACACTGGTAGGGTTGTTACAATTACTTTGGAAGTAAAACTTCCTCTGGGGAACTCATTCAACTGCCAGTCACATCTTGCCGTAACTTAAGCCACACAATTAGTTGCTCTTAAAGGCTCGTATTTCATACTGGCTTCTCCTTCAATTAAATGTATTCATTCAAAGCAGATACTTTATCAACTATTAAATTGTTGGGAAGTAAGTATGATGCAGATCATATTTCTATTCAAATTAACATGGTTCAATATTTGAAGTATTTTGTGGTTAGATTATAGAGACAGCTGGAGGAGTTTATACCAAAATGCCTACAGATAGCTTTAGTTTTCTGTTAGAGCTTCTTCAATGACACAAATTAAATTTATTTTAGCTACTAATAATATCACACCATATGATACTGTGTTAAATGTTGGGCTTGATCTCCTTTATCTTTTAAAATGCACAAGGATACAGCATATAAAATGCAAGAAAAGGGTAAAGGGGGATGATAGTTCACAAATCAGCAAGGTTTTGTAGTTAAGGCTATCTGGTTAGCTGTTTTACTATGCAGCTTACACACCCCCAGTGTGAAGCACAAAAGTGTCATCTGCTTTTTGACACAACTTAAAGACGTTGGCCTAAGTTATGCAAAGACTGTGTGGGGGTTCATAGCAAGAGTGAAATGACATATGAAAAACTGTTACTATTAAGTTGCACATTTGCTGTTCTGCACTTTGTATGTCGATAGTGGAGGCTCTGTGCATCAGCCCTCACCTTCACTGAGGAGTTACCAGAGCAGCTTCTGAAAACCCAGCCAGACAGCCTGGCTCTGCTATCTGAGCAAACCATCCTATTTTCATACTGAAAGGGTTGTTAGGCATTGGAATGGGCTGCCCAGGGAAGTGGTTGAGTCACCATCCCTGGAGGTCTTTAAAAGACGTTTAGATGTAGAGCTTAGTGATATGGTTTAGTGGAGGGCTTGTTAGTGTTAGGGCAGAGGTTGGACTTGGTGATTTTGGAGGTCTCTTCCAACCTAAATGATTCTGTGATCCTCTCTGGTTTGCTCTGCACCCACTGTAGATGCTCCACTCTGCTGTTCATAAAAAGTTCCTCTAATGCACTAAAGAACACATTTCATAGTCTTTCTTTCTCCTTGCCTCATCTCACGCCAAAATTATCTAAGGATTTCTTTTCACTAACAAAATGTTTGCTTATGTTCAGAAGGGCTAAAATAATTCCTCTCTGTTTCTTCTTGGTTGTGTCATTGAATTTAGCCTTGTTTCACAGTGGTGCCTATACAATACCAGTATTACACGTAACCCTGTGAACTCATTTAGGGAACATCTTGTTTAAAGAGCTGAGATGTTTCTTTCATTCCCTGCTACAAGCCACTAAGAATAAATCCTATTAAAAGTAATGCAAATTGCTGTCGTTAAGAAGATAATCCTGTTTGGCCTACATAGAGTTCACATTTTTCTCCAGCAAAACATTACAGATTCTTGGTTTGTTCAGCAAGAAGCACATAGGCTATGCTGCCATCACTGATAAATAACACACTACCTTCTTTTTATTTCATACCAGCCCTCAAAATATCATTGTTTTGTGCAAAACAACTATAAACCCCATAATCAGCCTAGTAGAGTTTGTAGGTGAGAGTTACGTGAAGCAGGGATCACTGGTACCCTGTGTATGTGGTCTCTCACTGACCTGGGCAAATTTGCACACATTCATTATACCCCACAGTTCCCAGCACATACATTAATTCTAATAATATATTATACTGTGTATTATACAGTCATTCATACTGAGATATTGTCAGTGGGGAAATGACAGCAGATCCTACGACAAAAGAATCTGAGGTTCCAAAACAATGATTACATGGAAGATAGCACTGTCTGTCTAAATGAAATCTGAAAGACTGGCATCCCATAATCGCAATTCATAGTCCTAAAAATATCATGCTGTCCTTTCTGAAAGTAATATAACCATCATATTAACTTACTCTGAACATACTAATGGAGGGTTTGACTTGGAAATGGAATAGATCAAACAAAGAAGTGATCTGCACGTACTTCAAACATTAGTTTGAAAGTCACCATTTTTACCAGACCATTCAGTTTTATTTGGAAGCAGAAGACTTCAGCCGATGCTCATAGCACGATATTAAATGAAAGTTGGAAGATTATTTTAAATCACCTACATAGTGTTTCGTGTATGGTTCAAGACAGCTTTGTCAATAATGTGTAAAGTGCTAGTCAGCGTGATCTGGAAGATAGAGCAGAGTGCACTCTCAGCAATTCTGCTGATGACACAAAACTGAGAGGAGTGGTGCATACACCAGGAAGTTGTACTGCCACCTGGAGGGACCACAACAAGTTGGAGAAATGGGCTGATAGGAATCTCATGAGGTTAAACAAGGAAAATTGAAAAGTCCTGCAACTGGGGAGGAACAACCACACGCACTGGTACAGGCTGGGGCCAACTGACTGGAAATCAGCTATGTAGAAAGGGACCCTAGGGTCCTGGTGGACACCAAATTTAATACATGCCAACATTGTGCCCTTGCATCAGAAACTAATGGTATCCTGAGCTGCACTGTCAGCAAGCTGTGGGAGGTGATCCTTCCCACTCAGCCCCAGTGAGGTCATACCTGGGGACAGACTGCTCTGGATGGTCCTGCTTGAGCAGGGGGCTTGTAGCAGATGGTCCCTTCCAACCTCAACAATTCTGTAATTCTGTGAACCAGAACTCTATTACTATGGTTAGAGATAGTCAAGAGAACAGAGTTTTGATGACTTCTGCAAAGATTCAGTATTTTACTCAGTGAAAATATGTCCCCATTATTTTAAAACAAAAGTGTGAGTTTGATCTATTTTAAGACAAAAAAAAAAAAAAAAAAAAAAAAAGGCAAGAGAAGCAGTGGCTTTCCTTGGGTGCCATAAGTGTTGTGGATCACAAGAAAAATTGCTGACAGTTTTGCACTTCTTCCTGGCTAGACTGAGACTGTCCCAGAAGCAGTGGGAAGCTCATCCTACCTCCTAGTAAAACTTAGACTTTTCTTACAGACCTCAACCAAAAGACAAAGTAGAAAATTTTACAGGAGAATAATTTATCTGTAGAACTATAATAAATATTTGAACATTACAAACATGGATTCATTAGCTTTCCATGCCCTGATGTATGTTTCCGTAGTGATGTCAGTCATTAGAAATGTCAGTTTTACTGTTTTCCTTATGTTTTGTGTATTTAACAGATGTTGACTTCCTAAAGATCTGGTCTTAAATATTCCTCCCTCCTATGCATGTAATATCCCTCATCACAGTCATTTTTTTCTTCCATTATGGCTCTCTCCAGACTTGGGATCTCTTATCAAATCTTGTATATTTTTCATTACACTTTAGGGACAGAAGGAAAAAAAAAAAAAAAGTATTTTCTCCATCAGTAGTAATCTCTCAATGTTGCAGATTTCATTGTAGCTTGGCAATGCTTCCTACTGATTTCACATATCTGAAGTGGTAGATCATCATTAAATGATTTTTTATATTATTCCACGTCTACACCACTGAAGGAGTAGTTGTTTCCATCAAGAAATATTTCTGCCTCTGTTTTCAGTTATTTCAGTTATTTAACAGAAAGTACAACGTCCCATCTCCTTTCAAGATGGCAGTAGTTTCAGCCCCCATCACAAAGTTCTTTTGTCATGTCATGACTTCCAACAAAAGCAACTTAAAACAAATAAACAGTAAGGAATAAGTCTCTATAAAAATTAGTAACTCATAACAAATCTATTTCCAGATCTACTATATCAGAATCATAGTTTGCATATTTTCTGCCAACTGCCATTTGCAAATCCCTAGGATGGTTTTCATCCAACTGTGATCATAACAAACCTTTCCATCTGTGTATTTTTCTAAGAGAAATCTTCATCAGAATTGTTCCCTAGATGCCTCTTGGGCTCCAGGATTCTGAGATGGTTCCATCATTCTCATAGGAAAAGTGATACAACATTTAAGGAAATGTTATAATTGATCCTTAGGTTTGCTCAGCCATGATAAAGAACAGATCATTTGCTTTGAAAATTACTTTAAAAATTATATTAACAATATTATTTCATTAAGTCATTCTAAGTTCTAAAATATCTTTTCTAACACACAATATATGTAGAATATTTGTCACTTTGAATCTACAAAAAGGTGAGTCTTCGAGTTTGCTGGTTCAGGACACAATTCTTTTCTTCCAGCAACATGTAAGTGGCAAGTGGGACTAAGGGAATGAGAAACTTTCCAAGAAACAGGGCTAATTATGAAAGGAGTAAGGACTATCTGAAAAATGTACCACAGCTTCTTTTAATAAGTCATCATTTCAAGTAGGTCATTAATAAAAATGTCCATTTCCCCACTTATAGACTGAAATAAACATATCAAAAGTAAAACACTTAAGCAAGTTTTAAACTTCAAGAGTATACTGACTAAAAAGACCTGCAGAATCAAAGCTCAATATGGGTAGGAAATTATTTTGCAGCACTAGGACTTCACTGTAAGAATGCAAGGACAAGCCATCTGCTCTGATCCAGGCAGGAATATTAATCTACATGAGAGATCTGACTTAATACCTTTATTTATTATTTTCTATGAAGTTAGCCAAGCAAACGTCTTCATATCAGGATTACCTTGCAAATCCTGTAAGACCTATTTCTCGTGTGAGGCATCTTGCCAATAACGGAGCAGTAAATACCATGCCCTGTATCTGAGAGGTAAAGGAGGCACTATACCAAGTAACATTAGCAGGTTCCAGTATCACAGGAGAACGACATCAAGACATCAAAAAGAAAAGAAACAAATACATCTATCAGACACCATAACACACAAACAACATCCAGCCACATCTACAAGGGAATTCCTAGGGCCAGAAACACACTTCTAATATTATGAGGGATGCTGTTGTCTCTATCATGTGCTGGAGGCACATCTATCTAGCCATGTGTTGTTGATGAAGGGGCTGCGGAGAGAGGGAAGGAAGGAGGCAGCGAACACGTCACAGGCTGACAAACCAGTGAATTCAACCAGCATCCCACTCCCTGCTCCTGCCTTCAGCCTCTTGGAAAAGAGGCTGCAGGAGGAGGTTGTGGGGTAGGAAAACAGTTTAGGCAGGCTGTATCCATGTAGTAGGTCATATTTTGGAGAAAATCTAGCTAAACTATCAAAGAGTTTTAAAGGAAACCACTCACAAGCAGCACTCACACGTGTTGGTGAAGATATACTTCTTTATATCATAGCTCATCAGTGAGAATAGAGAAGCACCTGCTCATTCTGATAAAGACTAAACAGCCTTAAAGTCCAAAACAGCACTAAAATAAATTAATATATTATGGAGAAACTAGTACCACAGTCTAGAAGGAATTCCCGGTAACACTCATGAGGAAATCAAAAAAGACAATGTTACCTCCACAGTGGGAATGGAAATCTGAGTTCTCAGCCCTGGCACTGATCTTCCAGCTGATTTTGAAGCAGTCACTTCACAACCTCGTGTTTCTATTTCCCTAGCTTTAAAATTCTGATAAAAATCATTGCCTTATTTGTTAAATACTTTTGAGATCTGATGTTATTGATAAAAATCAAGGCAAGTGTTTAAGAAGAGGAGAGGTAAGCAGTGGTATATAATCTGTTGCTAAAATCTTTGCTGGGGAATTAGAGTATAGAAAGTGTTCTGCTACTCCTTTGAAAAGATACTCATACTGTGAACCCAAGAATTATGGATCAATAAGATTTAATCCAATCCAAGGTCAATTCTAAATGTAATAAATAATTAAAAACAAAAACAAACAAAAAATCACACACACCAAAATAGCCTTTTAAATCTATTAGAGTTATTTTAAGGAGCAGTTGTTGACAGTTGTTTATTTACTAGCTTTACTGTAAGTTTGGACTATTGACTCTGGGAGAAAGACTAATTTTTTGGAAGTTCAAGGCTCCTCCATCTGAATACTCTGGAATAAAAAGCCACAGTGATGAATTTTAGACTAACTGGAACCATACAAGAGGAACACCTAGGTGTCCTGGTAAAACACCTGCTTATTTTGGAGAACAGAAAGAGGAAGGAGAAAAAAAAAAAAAAGAAAAAAAAAAAGCTTAGGCATAGAAAATAATAACCGTATATGTACATCTCTAGTCCACATCCTGAGCTAACCTTCACAAAATAAAAGGTGAAGATTAAGAGGATCAGCAACAGTGATTTCTGGGAGAGAGGGAGGAGACTGGAATCCTGCCCATAAGGTTATAACAAGAAGGGGTCTGGGACAAACTTTGCCTTTTATTTTGTACACAGAAACACGTATGCTGCTGAAACACAGTCCTTCACTTCAGATGGCCTGTAGGACACACTCATGAAATACAGTACTGAAAATGCTACAGTGTCATCTGTACTGATATCACAGTTTCCACTCGAACACCGTGGTAGAGCTCATGAGTAAAGCTGTTTAATTTCCAATAATTTTTGTGTTCATGGTAAGATCTACCTTTTAGCACTCAAACTTTCAGATTGCCACAATAAATATAAATTTTCTTCCAAGAGTTCTTTTATTAAATAATTTAGATTTGTAGGCTTACAAGCAGTGCTATGTTGATGAAATTTGGTAAGATGCAGATTTCAGCCCTGGAGCAAATGTTTTAGAAGACTTTGAAAATACATTTCTGGGAACTGTGATTTGATTTAAAAGATATTTTTCAGAGAGTGGGATGGAGGAGTGTGTTGCATGAGATGAATAATATGAAAAAAGAAATCCTATCACTGCAGCAAAATGCAGTGGATTTCAGAGAGGAAGGTGATGCCCTATAACATATTCTGTAGGAATGCTGTAATTAGATGAAGCTTTTTCTGATATCTAACATACTGCAGCAAGAAAACAAAGCATAAATTTGGAGTTTATTGAGCATTTATACATGGGATTGTGCACCGTGATACAAGCAAGGAAAATTAGATTTGTGTTTCTGTATTAGTAGATCAAAAAGTCGTAGAGCTCCTATGGTCATGGAACCATTGTGATTACCAGCTCCCAATAAATGCTTAAGGTTTATTTGATGGATAGACTTCTGTTTCCTTGATAGAAACATCAGAATAAGTTATATATAATATATAATATATAATATATAATATATAATATATAATATATATATATTATACGATATATATAATATATAATTATCCATGTTTACTTATTTTGTATTTCTTCTCATTAATAAATAAATAAGTCCCAAATAGTAAAAATAATAATAATAATAATAATTCTGTGTAAAACAACAAAAATATTTTGTTGGAGAGCTCCTACTTAGACAACATATTAGCAATGAAAAAATACTGTCCTTGTGCAAGCATTTGCAAAGCATTTTTAAGGACAACTTTAATATTACATTAAATAAAATAAAGCAGCATGAAAACTCTTTGCTATAGTGTTTTTTAATAGCAGAATTTACTATAATTTTTAGACAATCAGGTTTCCTGAGTTCTAAAAAGGACATGAATTTTTTCAACCTAGCCTTTGTGAGGTTCAGGGCTGCCATAAAGCACAAGCCATTAAGATAGCAGTTCTCAACAAGTGACAGAAATAACAGTTCACTTTCTCACAACAAAAGCTGCTGAAGTACTAGCAGCATTTTCTAAGGTCTTTTAAAATACCTTAAAAATAAATCTATATATTTATTTACCTACAGTATACTATAAAAATCATGGGCATCCTCCCTTATATTTTTAGAAATAGTAGCATTTCAGGATGCCATGACTAAGACATACCGATGCTGTCAGAAGTTATTATTTGAGTGGCTTAAAGATGTCAAAAACTATCTCCTAACTGATGGGAAAGGAATTCAATAAGAGACAATTTCAAGACAAAAAAAAATGACCACCTTGTCCTTAAATAAGAAAATGTTGTTAAATTGGAAAACCTCAATTAAATTAGAAGCTTATGGCTTAGTGATGAGCTGGACTACAAACAGATGCCTTTTTAAGGAGAGAGCTTTTAGTAATACTCATTTACCATATAAGAAAATGACACAAGGCAGAACTTTGTTAAGGTTTATTTTACATAATGGCAATTTACCCATGGGAGCAGTGCTTATATGCAAATTGTATCCCCAAGTGCGAGCTGCTCTCCTTGGCAGGGCATCGATTCTTCCAGTGATGGCCGGCAGCAGCTGTGTCACTGTCCTCAGAGGGACAAAAGATGTATATTATCCAGGTTTTGTAGCAGCCTGGCCACTACCTCAGAACATCTCCCAGCCCATGGACCTCCATCCCTCCTAAAATGGCTGGTCCCCATTAGAGCTGTAGACTGGAAATGCAGACAATGGTCTCAGGATCCAAGATTTATAGATCTCATCACTGCATCTGTCCACAGATCCAGACGTCAGACTTTTATCTTCCTTTCTGTTTCCCTAGACCACTTCAGTTTCATATCATTCTTTAGTTTATCAATCTTATTTGAGGAAAATAATAGAAGATAATCTCTTAGTTTCCAAAAACTCACCTTCACCTCACAAACAACTAGTATCTTACACTTCTCTCATTGAAACTACTGCTTGTATTGAAAGGATGTTAGTATTAAATTAGAATGACGCTCCTAGGGAGGTACATGCATTAATTTGAGCACCCAAAATGTTCAACATGATTAATGTGATTGCAACCAATGACAAGGTAATTTAAAATGATTACTAAAAATATCACCATCACACATGTTATTTTTAGAGTATCTCCAGCAGTAACAAAACAGCACAGAGCTGGGCACAACTTTCACAAACAGTGTAAGATGTGAAATCTAAGAAGAATAAATTAAGTTACTGGCATCTGTCTGTCTAGAAATAGAATCATCTTTAAGAGTGCTCTCTAGAGAGAAGGAAAACACACACTTTTGAAAATGAGTCAATATTTTCAAAAAAGCCACGGATTCTGAGAATGTCATATTCTCGTTACCCAGCTTGGACACGTGAATGCTGGGTGTTTCCCTGAGCCCCTCTCCATAGGCAGTTAGTTTCAAGTCCTCTGTCAACACATTTTCTCTCATATTTAAATTGGCTTCATTTATTTATTTATTGACCCCATCCATTTCCCTCCCTACTTAGTATCTGCCCAACACTAAAAGAAAAAAAAAAAATGGGTTTGTTTTAACCCTCAATGTTTCTTAAATGTTGAGTGGAGGGGAACAACCTTTATTTTACACAATAAAACTCCTATTAAATGATGCTTAGCAAGACCTGCAAGGCCTAAGTTGTTAAAGTCACGCTATTTGGAGATCAGAGAAAAAAATATATAGATCAGCTTCAATGAAGCCATACACTCACCAAATCTTGATTCTATGACTTTTCTTAATTTTCATTAAAATTCTCAGATGAATTATTCCTGGACTAAGGAGGATACATCTCAAAAAGTCTCAGGAAAATCCAATTTTCTCTTCTGTTTTTCCAAGGGAAGTAATATTTTCATAGAGAAGCACATTATCAAGAAGTTAAGGCCAGCAATTTACTTAATTCCAGAAGATGTGATAGTATACAGTTATAAAATATATCATGGCCAAAAGGTAAAGGCCACGTTTCATAATGTTTTCAAAGAACATATTTCTTTTTAACTAAGTTCTTAAGTGTGTATGCATTACTGCTTCTATTAGCAATATTCATTGATTTGTGTAGGCAATGAGCTTTACAGCTGTCTACTTGTTTTATTTGCTTGGTAGAATTTTGTCATGAAAATTCCAGTTACATTCTGGTAGCAGCACATTCCAGCAGCACTTCTTCCCTCACACACTTCTTGCAGGTTCCTACTCAGGAAAGCACGAGTGTGGTAAACCCTGTTGGTCTCAGCAGGCTTCAAAAACAAGCTTAAATTAAAACACATGTACAACTGTTGACTTAAAAAGAGATGGATTCATGAACCTTTTAAATTTTAAAGAGTGTAGGGGCCACTGTTATTTACATCTATTGTATTATTTTGTCTTACACCTGGTATTGCTACCTGCTGCAGAAATTCCTGTGTAGTGGCACAGGAATTGTGCCACTTGTGGCTGGTGGGAGTCTACAAAAGCCTGAAGATAAGTTGGTAAGCTCAAGTTCTTTAAAAAGGTCTGAGTAAAGCCTCAATCTTGCTAAAGAGTAGGAGAATTTTATTGTTTGTCTTTATACCATATAATGTGTCTTTATATCACTCTAAATGCAAGTCAGTCATGACTAAGGACAGCATCTGGATGCTGTTCATGCAGCAGACATTAATGAAACCATGTTATTTCATAAAGATTGTTCCATTTTCAGTGTCTGATTGAAGCTGGTTTTTGTCATTGATAAGGGCTGTCAAGCCCTGTAGAACTGTATAATTATAAACCCAGAGAACCATTGAAAATCAATATGGTCCAACTGAAGTGATTCTACAAATGTTCAGGATGTAATGGACTGTGATAAATCGTTCAAAATTCCATACATTTGGTAAAAAAAATAAAATAAAAAAAATATGTCTGTAAATATGCTTGGTATTAACTTCTGTAGAACTTTACATTTAGGTGCAGAGTTTGTCATATCTGTTGAATGATTTAACTAATATCTATTAATATCAATAGGATATTGAGAAAAGCAGGATAATCCATTATTTTGATCCATCAGAACAGGCAGTGTTTCTGTATCTCCTGTCTTCATGACTGTACATAACTGTTAGCCTGTTTTCAAGACAGAATCACATCGAGGAAACTTATTCTAACAACTTTCTCCACCTTCAGGTAAGTACCTTTTGTTTTAGTCAAATTTGTTTAACCAAATCACGTTGTATATTGTAGTTTGACCAGTCTTGGAATTTGTTTTCTCTTAGAATTTAGGATTACATATTGCAGCATAATTGTCTCAAAGCCATGAACAGGTCAGAGCTGCAAATGCATTCACAAATTAATTAATTCCCATACTGAAAACAGTTAAAACTTGCTAAAGATTTGTCATTTGTATTAAGCTCACAGGCATACAAATAGATTAAAAAATCATGTAAAGTCATTAAAATGATGTGAATGACTGAAGACTACGTCTCACGTAGTGAGACTCTGTGCCTTAGACCTCCATTTTACTACTCAGAGATGCCATCTTTAAGACTCATTTGTGTTCTAAAGTTTTCCTACCTGAAATGTCTGCCTGACATTCAAACTAGGATGGATGGATGGATGGATGAATGGATGGACGGACAGACGGACAGATGGATAGACAGATAGATAGACCTATTTCTACAAATTCTTTTTCCAAAAAAGTCAACATGGGATCACGTAAATATATCTGGCAACAGCTATAAAGTTAAGTGTTGATCCTTAAAAAACTCTAATCCTATCTGGGAGGTGGTCTGCTAAAACTGGTCTCTTTCAATGACATGGAGAGAGCATTGCTGTACATTTGCATCATCAAGAGCTCTCGAAAAAATAGTGAACTAAACAACTGTCCTTACCAAGACAGTGTAGAGAGGAAGAAGAATGACTTGTGCACCTTTATTCAGCTGTTAATAACAAGTAAAACAGACAGTTATTACAGGTTTGCCCAAGGAAATACAATAATACACTTAAAATGAATTTTCTCTCTTCTCATAACTTAAGGAATAATTTTTTCTCTGACTGATAGGTAACAACCATGCTCATGTTAAATATTATTCCAAAAATAATGCTAGAATTGGATCTTCAGTCACTAGTTCTCAGTTCTAATCCAAAGCAATCTATTTGTTGTGAACTACATCATAATAAATTCAGTTTTACAGCCTCGGTATGATAAATCCTCATTGATTTCTTTTTGAGTAATCAAGTTTTAGGCATAAGTTTTTAGCATTTTTTAAACTCACTGGCATCACTTCTCTAATATAAGGGGAAATAAAGTGTGAAATAGATTGTCAGATTCAGCTAAAGACCTACTAACCCTGGAAATGTTAGATGTTTTAAAGTCTTTCAACTGTTTTATACCCTTCCCCCTACCCACGCCCCCCCAAAAAAAAAAAAAAAAAAAAAAATAACTTCAGACTCCATATTTTATGGTCACTAATATGAGTAAATGAAAAACCTTCCAATACAATATGCTGCACTTCCATTCTCACCTATGACTTCAGAGACCAGAGAAGAATTAAAATTTTGTGAGTGAAATTTGGGGCCCATTGAGTCAATGACAATTCGTAATTCATTCACTAAAAATCAAGAATTCTACTTTGAATTTTTGCAGATTCAGTGACTGCATTCATACTGTTATCCAGTAGTACTGGCAAATTTATATTATGTCCACATGAGTGTATTAAAAATGTGTTTTCTTAAAACAAAATTTGGACCAAACTTCTGCAATACAGCTTTGTTGTTTTGTCATTATTTATTTATGTTTTTACATAATCATGTACTCAGATGTCTTATGTAGTCTATCACTATTGACAGAGTATTTCCAAATTTTGGAAAAATTATATACTTTCCCCTTTCCATAGCAAATACTGAAGGTTTCCATTAATAAATAAATAAATAAATAATGTAACTATGTTTGTTGTATCAGATATTTAATCTAACATTTTATTTTATTTCTAGTTATTGTACTTTAATGGCCTAACTACTGACACTGCAGTATATTTTACAGCTCTAAGTAAGGAAATAGCATCTTATGTATTTCCCAGAGACACAAAAACTTCCCATTCTAGCATCCCATATTTTTAGGCCATTCAGTTTCATTTAATGACTACTAGACAGAGCTGAACAACTCATGGTCAGAAAAGAAATCTAGAAAGATATTCAGCTGTGTTTCAAAAGTAATAAAAATGATGAACTGAAGCAGAAACAATGAACTGTCATACAAGAAGATTATGGTGGAGCTGAAAATTGAACTTGGTTCTCCTGGGTCTCAAGCTAGCTGCACTAACACCTTATCCTTTATTCCACTCTACCCAAGGCATTCTCCAACAAAATAAGGGAGAAATCTCTCTGAGGGTTTAAAAAATGCTAGAGCTGATGAAATGTTCATAACTAACTCATCACCTTGGCAAGTTCAAAATTTTGCAACAAAAAAAAAATATTTAAGCTGAATACCTGCCAAACCTTACCAAAATACAAGTGGTCAAATGAAGGCACTGGTCAACTGCTTTTGCCAAAGATTGTTTCCTAAATAAAACCCCAGAGGCAATCAGAGGTGTAGCTTCCTGGTTATTATGAAAGCTGGGTCATTTGGGTTTTTACTCAGAGGTCTGTTTTTTTTTGACATCCAGCTTTGCAAATATCATCTTGTGTCTCCCCCCTTTCTCAGAATGAGGTCGGAGGGTAGTCTTGCTCCCAGTGCTAAGCAAAAGTGCTGTTCTGCCACAAAACAAATTGTCCCATTCCCAGAAGAAATCTTCTGCAGGTGAAAGTAATTCCAAACATCCCCTGCTTTCAATGTAAAGAAAATGCAGGAGCATCATGCATTGAGTCAGTGACCTCCATCAGGTTGCCACAACTACCACATGCCTTTGCCTGGTGACCCTAGAAGAGCACAGCATTTGGTGGATATCTGGGAGGGTGCAAGAGGCTTTCACATGGCTTACCTTTTTCTTTGCAGATCAAACAGCAAACTCATTTGGCTTGCCTGGAAACACAATTGGGCTAAAATGCAAAATTTTCTCAGAAAATTAAAAGGACTAAATGGATTAGAATGAAAGCTATTTCAGTCTTAACCTTTAAATTCCATTAATGTGATGTCTCCATAACATTTCTTTGTTTTATCTCCCTAAGGCAAACATCTTGTGTGCATCCAGCTGAGGAATGTGGCCAGGCATTGGGCAAATCCACAAGAGGAAAAGAGGATTCTTTTCCATCAGACACCCATTCATTTTAACTGCCTCCACACTCCCTTAGCACGATATTTGGCAGTTCACAACGATGCACAGGGTTCCCCTGTCCTGTTTTCTGTCCTCTGTGATGGAGGCTATGACTGTTTGATTTGTGTGTTTTTAGTGTTTTGGGGTTATTGTTTGTTTGTTTGTTTACAGTGAATGGTACTGTACAGTGTATGTTTTATCTAAAATAATACAGTGGCTACATGGCAGAGGATAAAGCACCAGAAGGTGAGGAAGGATCAGAGAAAGGGAAGAAAGAAGAGGGAGAAGAAAAAACAAACAAACACAACACTGTTTGTTAGGTCAGAGGTTGGACTCGATGATCTTGAGGTCTCTTCCAACCTAGAAAATTCTGTGATTCTGTGACTGTGCTTTCCTCAAATGCAACTGTGCTTGTTCAGTTGAAGAAGGAGATGATTGAAAGGAGCAGGGCACAGGAATGGTGTCAACCTCAGGGGTTGTGGAATGTTGGAAGCTTTCCAGGGAACTCAGAGGAGCTCCCACAAAAGGAGCCACGGATAGCTGCTGGATTGAAAAGCAAGAAGCTGCTCCTTCAGGAAGAAAAGACTTGTCCCACAAGGATGCTGGAAGATTTGTTTTCAAACCTTTGTATTTAATCTGCCTCCTTCATTTACCATTTTATGGCAGAAGGCTGGGAGTCTTCTGATGTATTGGTGTGCTCACCTCAAAGAAGGTATTGACCAGTTCTACTGCAAACCTCTGTTAATTTGGGGTTCTGTCATAGTTTTTTTCCTAACACGGAAAATGAGCTACTTCTGGATTTCCAGCAGTTATATGACTATATTTATTGAAATGATTTTGTTATTTGCACTTAGAGGTGTACCACAAAATTCAGAATTCATCTTCTGCATTTTTGTTTATTTGTTTGTTTGAACAAATAAAGCTTTACAAATCCCTACTGTACATCACACAGGGATTCCAGGTCTTTGGCACTTGTATTTGTTTGTTGTTTATTTTTATCTCACTGTGTAAGTCTTGGGACAAAGCTTCATTTACAGGTAAAGACGAATGGCTGAATTTCTGCTGCGTTGGGACCAAATTACTTTAGCTTCATTTTGTGAACAAATGCAGTTTCACGGCTCATTGCTCAGATAGTGCAGCCTGTCACAACAGAGAGGACACAAAACAAGAAAACAAAAGGAAGAAATGTAGCCATGAGTAGCCTTGGTTGTACGTAACTAGAAGAGGTTTACTTTCTGAGTAGGGGTGGCAATATCCCCATCATAAAGCTCTCAGGGTGTACACAGGGAAGATGTTTCCACTTCAGTTTGGCAAATAGACCCAGAGAGGGTTTTCTTCCTTAAGCCATCACATATAGGTTGAGGTTCATAAAACTTCGTCCTTTAATATCTTTGGAAGTAAACAGATGCAAGGCAAATTAAAACAGCTGAGTCTGGATCTAGACTCACTTCAGCAGACTGTGGCTTTCCACAAGGGAGTTATACATCAGCTGAATAATGCAATTTATAAAGAGTTGAGGTGATCTGCATTTATCTACATTCAGGGAATAACTGTACAAAATGAGCCTGATTCTTCTCGCATTTACCCAGTTTTCAAAAGTATTCCAGTGGGATTTCACCTCAGAGCACCCTGAATGAGAATCAAAACCCATGATTTCACACAGCAGTGATGAATCAAATAAACCGCTCTGCTTTCCACACTGCTGAAAACGGGCATGCTTTTCAGGGCATCCTACACAGCTGCTTTATATTCATTATATATCCACATATCAGTCGCAGTAGGGGAGATATTGCAATGGAGGGAGGGCGGGAGGGAGGGAGGGAGAAGGACAGATGGGTCTGTTTTCTTAGGTCCTTCTCTTAGGAGGAGGTGGGATCAAGAGGAGCTTCTCTCAGAGGTGACAGCAGCATTTCAGTGGGGGAAGAAGACCCAGTCTTGGGGCCTGGGGAAGGTCACCAGCTCTCCACTGGATGTTGCACATCCCAACAGACCTGCCAGAATTGGGGCTGGTTCCTCTGGATGCTCAGAGCAACACCCATAGGAAAGACCAGCAATGAATCCCTTAAGAACTTTGTGGAGTGTTTGTTGTTGTTGTTGTTGTTGTTATTTGTTTTGTTTTGTTTTGTTTTGTTTAGGTAGCCTTTTGGGTAGAAATACTTTTGAAGTATTGCAGAGGCTTTTCTCCCATAAAAATGTTTGACATGAGGTGTTCACTTCATTGCCTGTGGAAATTGCTGATTTGTAACCAAGAACTGTTTGTGAGTGGATCTGTGACTGCTCCTATTTCCTCACATGAGCACTAGTATCTTTTCTCACCTATTAACGTCTTGGTTAATATTCCAAGGAGATTAGAATCAAGGCCCTGAAAATCATAAATGTTACTTTACAAAGGAGGGAGAATTAAGACAGTCACATCAGACAGTATTTACACTCCTCATTTTTCTGAGATTTGGTTTTACTGAAGGATACTTTCTTGAGAATGAGACTTGCCATTGGATAAGGCATTGCCATCTTCAAATGGTATGAAAGCAAAACAGCACCATTCTTCTCAGTCTCTTCTGAGTATCTCTTTACTTTGTTTCCAAATGAGTTCCTTGTAAAAATGTCACATTGCTGTGCTGCTCAAAAGCTACTTAATATTCTTCTATTCTTAAAAGAGCTCCGTATTCCCTGACATCAGAGGTTTCTTTAATCAGCTCTGAAGATGTTCCATCTTCTTCATGGTTTTCCTTGCTAAATTATAATAAAATGCACCAAAAAGAAAAAAAAAAAAAATCCATATATTTCTCATTTGACTTGAGGAAATAACTAGCTTTGGGAACAACATTTTAATTGCTGAGTTTCTTCTGTTGCCTAAAATATTACTAAAGATAAAGGATTTGGCCTAGTCATGTTTTTAAGAACTATTTACAAATCTAAGCATTTTACGGAATCTGATTCAATGTCTCCAAGCTAACATGGCAGCAAGCACATCATTATGAATTTCTTGTTTGTTATATGCATTAGTTTTCATGCTTAAGCTGTTTGTAACAGTATTCCTAAGCAAGTAAAATACAACCTGTAAGAAAACAAAATGTTCATTTCTGCAGAAGATCTAATATTTCAAAGTATTTAGCTCCAAAATGGGATAAAAATGTGAAATTGGTATTGTATTAATGCTGTAGTACAATGATTTTTTAATATTTGAACACTATATATTTTATAAGGATTTTATAAAGTATTATATACGAAACTATATCATATTCAATCTGATACTCTAGCACTGAAGTTTAGAGTGAATCAAGATCTTTGTTGAACTAAGAACTTTATCTCATTAAAAATGAGACATTTTTTCTCTCCTAGTACTTAATTAAATGTAACCAATTTAAATAAATTATCTGTTAAAAACGGAGAAATGTATTTTACTAACACTTAAAAGTGAATAAAACTAGCCAGAAATATAGCCAATAATATTTCTGAACAATTTTAAAGTAAAATAGTCATTGAAATACCACTCTATACCCACTCTACCAGGAAGTTCAGCATATATTTAAAACTTGTAAATTGAAAAAGGACACAATTTTGCATGTGGACAATTTAAAACTGTGTGACTACACCTCTCTTCTTCCAAAGGGACATGCAAAGGTGGTAACTGTATTTACCATTGTTTAATGGTAAATGTAAGCACTGTTGGACATGTTGGATTGGTTTTAATTTATTTTAAAGAAAGACAAGATTTTTTCCTTCCCTCCACAAATAACTGTGCCTCCCGGGACTCCAGAAGGTGCAACAGTGCAGCTCCATTACATGTCATATAAAAGCACTCACAAACACTAAGCACAGGAGTTGTGATATAGAGAAAAATCCCATGACAGTTTTCTGGGGTGAAACACAAAAAGAAAAATTGAGATGAATATACAGCAGGATCAATGAATCTTTGCAGATTCTGTCATTCTCCAGTCTGAAGTGCTAGCAAAACAACACCTACAAAGTTTGCTTGAGTTATAGTGTAGTATCAGGAGCAAAGCAGATTCACAGCTATGTCTGTAAATTGTGATGAAATTCCATGTTTGCACCCCATATAAATGAATGAGGATAGTGTCAATAGTCTCAAATATGTGCAATAACCTAGCTGAAATAAAGTATATATTACATTTTATCTTTTTCTAAATTAATTTTTTTAATTACTTTAAAAAATTGCCTTCAAGTATGAAAGTTGCAAAATAAAAATGTTATAAACATTTTTACCTAATTATTATGTTTGTGTTTCCGAACAGATGGTGTTCTATGTGTGCAATAATTTAAAGTAAAAAATTACTAGGTTACTGCAACAGGAGCTCCTTTCTCTGATGCTTAATTCTCTGCTATGTATAAGAAGGGAGCTAGAAAGAAAGACCCTCATGGTCTGGATTTGACTTTTGCAAGTTTTATATCTTAGGTTTATTGTAGGTTTACGGGAAATGGGAGTATGGAAATTTCAAAGGTCGTAAGGATTTTAGGTCTGTAGAATGAAAAATATCACAGTTCCCAAAAGGCAGGAAATCCATAAGTTCTTAAATTCACCCACATGGAAAAAGTAGAGTATGTAAAGACTTAGCATCAGCCTTCAGTGACACATTTTAGACTTAAAAGGCACTTTGTTCTGGACAAAGACATGCAGAAAAACTGTGTAGGGGCTTTAGAGGAGTCACAGTGAGTGGGTTACTGGGAAGGGGGAATAGGTAGGGAAAAGCAAAGGAAAAAATATGGGTAGAAATATAATGTTATGTTTGTTATCTTATGTTTGTTGTTATGTTATGCTATGCTATGCTATGCTATGCTATGCTATGCTGTGCTGTGCTGTGCTGTGCTGTGCTGTGCTATGCTATGCTATGCTATGCTATGCTATGCTATGTTATGTTATGTTATGTTATGTTATGTTATGTTATGTTATGTTATGTTATGTTATGCTATTTGTCCTAATACTACCCTTTACCTTCCACGTAACATTGTCGGGGATCTATGACATCCCCAAGGCTTGGAATTGCAACTTCTCATCTATTTCAGTGCTTTCATTCCCCTGCTTCATCCTACTCCTGACATGCAGTGGTTGACCCTGTGCAGTTATGCTTAACAAGAGCTTGGTTTTCAGTGAGTGATGAACAGCTTCCTAAACCCTTAATAGGTTTGTTACTTTAGGCAGGGATGCACATGCATTTCCCTATTAAACTACCTATGAGATTTAATGTGAATTAAAGTGTAGCAAGTAAGACCAAACAAAGCACTAACTTCTCCAAAGGACTTCTTCTTCTTGCTGTAGCATCAGATATCAACTTCTGTTCTTGTTTGTCATAAGGCACTTTTATATCACATTGGCACAATAAAGGTCTTCAGTATTGTTTGGAATAGATCCCATACCTCTTTAAACTTTGGATCTGATCAAAATAATAATTCTGTAAAAACAGCACTGTATTTCTTCCACCTTCTCTTCAACTCCAGAGCCAAAGTATTCATCGCATGATGCTCTCCAGCTCATTCTGCTGTCAGCAATGCAGAGCCATTACAGCAATCAGATGTAATCTGCTTTATCACCAGCAAAGCAGTTGCCAGGAAAATTTCAGATTACTGAGATTTTTATACTAATTCAGTGAAAGTGTCCGTGGTATTTAAAGCACATCTTGATTTTCAGTCCCAGAGTTGTATTTTCAAGCGTAAAATTTGGATAGCTTACTTAGCAATTTTGGTTTATTGAGCAAACACATACTTTGCACAAATTAGGAAGGTTAAGTATGAAACATCAAGATAGTGTTTCTGCCGAGTAAATTTTTCACCCAGGCACGTTTAGCCAAAAGCCAAAATTTTAAGCTGATTTTAATTGCATGTTGATTTGTTATGGAATTAGCTGTGGACAAAGAGAAAAGTTTGATCCTTGAGCCTTACCTCTGGAATATCTAATGACCTTTTCTGTGCCAGTGCAACCACTTGTACTGTATTCACACGACTCCCTCTGGTGGCTGACATCTCCACTCCAAGCACGGTAGAGCATCTTGCTTTTTTTGTTTGGTTGATTGGTTGGTTGGGTTTTTTGATGTTACACATGGGTTACAGATATGTTGGTGGATTCTCAGCTCTCCTGGACAGCGAATATGCTCTTAAAGTTTTTGTTTGAGCAACCAGATCTCTTTTTCTCACAATTATATGTATACCAATTCAACTGGATAAACAAACTACTGTTAAATATTGAAAAGACCACTGAAAAAAATTGTTAAATACATATTTTTGTAAAAGATATAACATTTCCTATTCATATATTTCTATTTTATGTAGCACACCACTACAGAAACACCTCACAAATAGTCCAAATTTGTCTCCAAGTAAGCCAGTGGCATAGTGCAAAAATTAAACCTTAATTTTCTTCTTACCTGGGGCAATTTATGCCACTTGGTTATATAAAGGGACCTTTAAGTCTACAAACTCACTTCTGCTTCCAATGGCTTTCTTCTCCCACTGCTGGAGACAGCGTTGTATCAGCTGCCATTCTCACATTTTTCACTATATGCTTCCTAAACACATAACAGAGCCCAATAATCTGCATATCCTATCCAACATCCTGGCAAATGCGTAGGAATTTGATGATAGAAGGCCCCCAGAGCACTGTGCTCCAATCACCTAACTCTATGAGACCTGGTTGGCACCAAAAGTATCTCACATACTTCAGACACTTTAGTGATGGTTAAGCTTCAACATGAGCTTTTTTTTTTTTTTTCATGCATGGTTTGTCCTTTCTTAAGCACACCTGACCTCGCTTTCATCACACAATGCCATCCTAGCTAAAATATCAAGCAAGAGAAATCACAGATTTTAAAGAAAAACTAATCATCAGCAAACTTTTGAGATGAAAGAAAGATGAAAATTTCTGTTTGTCCTGACATCAGATTGACTGTGATTTATTTGTTACATTACACAGATGAGTAACACCAAGTTGCACAAGGGCACTGTATTGGTAAGTCACACTCCATGCTCACCTTGAACATGCAATTCCTTATCTTGGCATGAATAAATCATCTTAGCTGAGTATCTACAGATGATGTGCCAAAGCAGCATGACCGTCCCAGAATGTACAATAATGCAGTGGGGTGTCTGAGGAATCAAGGAAGATTCAGATATGAAGCACAGTAATGTATGATGATGTATTGGTGATCAACATAGAGGAGTCTTCCAATAAAGAATGATGTGCACTGCTGGGTGCCTAGGAGAATAAGAAGGCCTCTTATGTCACCTCTGCTAAACAGGATCCTACTATTTTTAACATTTTAATTCAGGTTAGAATCCAGGTCTCTCCTTCAGACATACACGCCTTCCTGCCTGTATATATGTACACTGTATAGGTGACATAATTTTCCATTGCTTTTAACAGACATTTTTATTTGGTGATTTGTTATTCCAAGGCTGTTCTTCTGCAGAAAAGTAGTTCCTAGTGAATTCATTATGGCAAGGCTCAGGTCTTTATCCTGTAAGTACTTATGCATGTTTTTTTTTGTGCTTGAATTTTATTTTTATACATGAACCATACCTATTGTGGGTTCTAGGAAATGGAGGCATCATCTCAGTGATGTGGAATAAGAATAATGGTGCAGATTGAACCTAAACACGACAATCTTGTCTCTGTCTGTCAAAGAAGAGCAAACCCTTACATTTTTTATTTTATTCTTCTGTTTAGGTTTGCCCTATATTAAAGCTCCTTCGAGTAGGGTGGCAATGAAAATATAAAAGAGTGAGGATTATCAAGCATAAAAAATAATTAACACCAGAGGCCATTCCCATCTCAATGCCATAACCATTTGGTTGCATTTCTCCCTCCCGATATTTTTTTTTCTCTGCCTAAGCAAATCTTTTTCTAGCTGCAGAGCAGATCAACTGGAGCTGATGGCAGAGCTCCCCACACCAGCTACAAACCAGGACACTCTCGTGGCACAGGGCAGTGTGGATCCAAACACTCGGAGGCTCAGGAAAGGCTAGACATCAGTGTCCTGTTCCTGAGTAGATGCTCCCAAATGTCAGCTGTAAGTAGAACCACGTTAGTTAATGAATTAAACAGCAATGTTGTTTGCAAGGCCTCTGGATTAAATCTCAGGCTACTCCATGCAGTGTCAAGTTGCTGACACCACACTCTACATGTATGGATGACATGAACCAGAGAGAGAAAATGACGTATCAGTGGGAATAATGCAAGGTCTAAAACCCATAACTTACAAGGAGTGCAATGGAAGAGTCAGGGGTGTTGGTGGAGGACATGATCAGAAACATGTGCAGCTAAAAGACTGACTCTTGCTAAGAAAGAACGATCTGTTATCCATGCCTGTGGTGATAAGACAAAAAATAGTAGCCTTTAATCAAAGAATATCTAAGCTAGATATTAAGGTGCATTCTCTTGCAGCCCACCTGAGGAGATGGTAAAAACTCCATCACCAGAAGCCTTAAGTGACAGGTGGAATGCAGCCACACACTCACCCAGCCTAGCAGAGGGTTAGATGACTCAGCTCTCACTTTTAGTGCTGTTTTTCTAGATGTTAGGTTTCTCAGAGCACACATAAGGGGCGTACCTCCGAGGTGGAAAAGCATTCAAATTCTGGGTTGCAACAGCTGCTCATCAAGAAATAGGTTCTGCATGTGCCTGAGTGAAGATGTTGCTTGTATTTAGATGCCCAAGGAACTTTCAGAAAGACCTCACAAACATCTTCAGGATAAGACAAGGGCAGAGACACTTCTGCAAAGGTGTGTTGGACACAGAGTTTACAGGAGAGCATGGTAATATCCATTCACAGCATATTGGCATGTGACAAGCAGGGAATTTTAGACCAGTGAAGTGCAACTAGCTAATAATAACAATTGCACAGTTTATTTATGGGCATAAATTTGCATAGGTTCCTCAGGGTCAGTAAGGTCAAGAACTCAACACATTTTCTTTTCCCAGCTCTGCAGTGAAATTGTGCAGTTACGTATGCCAAGAAACACAGTTAATTATAAACAGATAATGTCTTACCCAAGCCTGCACAACAATTTAAACCTGAAAAACTCAGGTTTAAATATGGTATAATTCAGGCACAATCTCTTTTCCACATTTGAATAATACAAATATTCAAATCCTATCTGTTTTACCTTATCTTCCCAGTCTGCTCTTCTACCCTGTTTCAGAGGCAGCTCCTTTCTTAAGTTGTCTCTGAATGTAGCTGTCTGAATGAATTGAAACTCTCCCTCTGTACTGTTCATATCATGACTTCCTTAAATATCCCTATTTTTAATCACAGCATGCTTTGATTACATCCTTAGCTAAACTACAGTATCAGGATTACACACACTTAACTGTCCAGCATAAGCATAGATCCACAGTCCAATTCATCGGGGTTTTTATGTACACAAGTCCCTGACCCATTAGCTGCTGACACACTCTTGGGTAAAACTACTTATTAGTGGATCTAATTTTATGTACAGAAACACATTTATCAGTGGCACTGTATAACTAACTGTAATGAAGACACATAGAATATCATTTGGATGATACCCTTGCTTTTCTATGATTTCATTCATCAAAATGTCATGTGGAATAGATATAATTAACATTGCTCATGTATTTTTGTACAGCATTCACAGCACCTTAACTGGCACTGTTTAACAGAAAGGCACAGAAGGAGCCTGAACAGCTTAGCCAGGAAGCAGCAGCTTGGCTCTTCCTCTCTCCATGGGGTCCCCCCATACCTCTGAGGAGCCTTGCAGGAGCATTAGCTAGAGCACTGGCAGTACAAAATACTCCCCACTTTCAACCAAGGTGAAATGAAGTTCTGACTCAAAGAACAGAAAAATAAGCATTCAAACCTGTGATATAAAGAAAGTAATTTAAATGATAAAGGGATGAACTGAACAGGAGATACAGTGGAGACCATGTTACAATGCAGCTGCTCAAGTTACTGCTTGCTGGAAGCCCATGAGTTGAAAAATGTTTATGAGGCACTTGTTTTGTTGCCTCTGATCGTTTTTGCTGCTGATTCTCCATGAGCCTCAGCTGCTCCTGCACACATGGTCACAATGGTTTCTGGACTGCCAGGGCAGAGCAAAACATCTTCTCATTAAGGTCCATGGTCATTCCTGCCCATGTGGCAATGTTATTGAGACACTCAGAGGAGGAGGATTTACTGCCATATTGCAAAAGCATGTACTTTTGCTAACAGGTAGTTAAATGATTAAAGGCAATATTTTCATTCCTATGAATTGCTCGTTGTTTCAGTCTGGAAGATACAATGAGTATATAGAGAAGAAGGCTTCAACCATCTTTTTTTTTTTTAGAAGCTTTCATAATCAGTTTGTCAAGGTTGAAGGATCATATTTATGTACAGGTTGGTTCTGGAAACGGTCTTTGCTTGTGTATTTTGTTTTGTTTTGTTTTATTTGTTTTATTTTGTTTTATGGTCCAATCAAAATCTGCTTCCCATATGTTTTTCCATCTACCAGTGTAACTTTATCTAAGGTACGTGTATTTCTGAATTATTCTATTTCCATTTTTTTTCTCAGATTGTTTTCTTTTCTCAGATTGCTGGATATTTTATTTTCCATCTTCACTTGATGCAATATTTTTCATGTAGATTTTGAATCCACTTCTCCTAAACTCCTTGGCGATTTAATGAAATTCGTATGTCTTTGATTTCTTTCAAGAATCCTGGCCTAAAACATGTTTTCTATCCTCTCTTTGATGTTTTGCTTTAGGAGAATATTCTTTAGATGGACTATTCTTAAATGGCACCCACTGTGGAGACTTTATTCCTTTCAGTAAGTACATTTTTAAAACTCCATCTTAATAGCACACTCTAGTATTCACCTTTAATATCACCCTCCTTATCACATCAAAGTAATGTTTGTCTGTGGTGCTTCACTGAGGTATAATGAAGAGTATATCTGACAAACATCAGATGATTTGCATGTGAGTATGCTTCAGTGTGGTTTCTTCTGAAATTAAACCCTTCTGAAGCAGAATTAACTTGGCTTCTTTAGGAAGAAGTAGATTTGGCTCCAAGCTGAAATAGCAAGATTTCTCACTAAATTTCTGGTAAGACTAAAATTATTTCGAGCTCTTGAGTGGGAGATACCCTCCTGGTTCTTTTGTACAGTCTTCACGAAGCCTGGAAAGACCCAAGAATTTATCCAAGCCCAGGCAATACAAGCCCCTGTCCTACTACATGGGTTGTTACCTTTCCTGTGCCAAAGTCTCACTATTTTTGAAGCCTAGGAAGGTCAGATATTTCAAATTAGAATCTCACTGGAGATGACTAAGTGTTTCCATAGCATATGCAGTCTTCAGTTTCTTGCCACTGCTGCAATTCAGGCTGTTTCAGCCCTAAAGATGTATTCTGAAATAGTCTTTTCCCTGGGCAAGCACCTCCCCGGTTGAAGAGTTCAGAGTGCCCGGGCAAGGGCAGATCGCTGAGCGCTGCTCCAAAGGCACCTTCAGGGCTAATTTGTTTGACATTGTTTTGCTTATGCTTCCTGCTGCAAATCAAGAAGACACTTAGGAAATTAATATATAAAGCCCCTTTATCGCACCACTACATCCTGTTAGCAGTTCAGAGACCAGCTGTGAACGCTTGCTTGCCAAACCCTCCTATTGACACAGTGACAGCGCGGAGCACATTTTTTTACCCTTTTTTCCCCACACCTAGTGGCTTTTTGCTTACCAGTGTCACTGGCCTTGTTTTTCTGCAACCCAGCAGAGATACATTCCTTAGGAAGACTGGGCAAATCCATCAAGATCTAATGCTCTGTCCTGTTGAAAGCTGTGCAAGAGACAGCACATAAGATATGAGGCTCTGTGTTGTGGTTTTCAGTGAATAAATCTACATCAAAAGAGTGACATGGGGGCACTGCACTTAATATTTAATGTTTTGAGGGGGCAGTATATATATATTTTCTTTAACAGAGCATTTTCTCTGCACTTTGATCTGAATACACATATTGGTAGATATCATTTTTCAAAAATAATTACTATTGGAGCTGTTCATAGTATTAGTTTTCATAAATTCATCCAGTTATAATTAATATGTGCCTTTCAAGGACCTAAAAGGGAAGGCATTCAATATTTCTTGTCTCTAATTTTAGTATGATCTGATTTTCCTCTGGTTGCCTTTCCAAACACCTGGGGCCAGCCATATGAGTAAATTAGATTGTGCTAAAATGCATATTAATGAAGCTCAAGCAATGGTTCCCTAAAGGGACAGTAAAACTATATATAGCTCCTTTTTTTCCCCTCTCTTGGTTAATGTGCCTTTCAACACATTTAGATCCTAGTAAAATCATGCCATTTTGGAATAGCCAAAATATATATATATATACAAAGAAGCCATTAAAACAAAACAGAGGCACATTTTTTTGAAGTGTATAAATGATCACTATTTTTAGTACTTGCATTTTAAAATTATTTCATAATAAAAATATATTTTCTTTTAATTGTCTTATCCTACAGGGAAAAAAAATCATACCAAGACATTTGGAATAGAAAGAAGTAGCATATCTGTTAATTGACTACAGTACTCTCTGTTTTAGCTTTCTTAAAAAATTGTATTGTTTATTTTAATGGACAACAATGGAGGACATCAACCAATTGTCCTGCATGACACTTGGTATAAAAAGAATGAAAAGAATTTTGGAAAAGGACATTGGAATAAATCCCAGTTCCTCAAGGAAGCGAGGAAGTGTGGAGTTTATCAGGGTTTGTCCATAGAAGCATTTTAGTCCAGATAAGGAGGGTGCTTTTTAGGTGAATCACTCACTGCTCATGATGCCTTGATTCACACCATACACTGGTCACAGAGCATACATGCCAGATTCATTTCAGGAAAGTCTAAACTGGAAAATGAGCTCCAGAGGCACATTTAGAGTGCACTGACTGCTCATGGGCATTCAGTTCATAGAAAAAGACTAAATTAAATCCAAATGAAAACCTCCTGAATGGATGGGTACTGGGTCCCCAGCACCACCAGATGGATGTGTGTCTGCAGAGTGCCTGGATGATGAGAGAAGCCCAGTTTATCATATCAGAAAAAATTGGTTTGGTAATTAGACCAAAGGATATGACTCAGGGATAAACAACAGGAAGGGAAAAGAAATACCAAGCCACAAAACAAACTGACACAGAAACAAGTGAGTAGTACTTGCTCACACCCTTGAAATTAGAAAGAAGATGTAGACACACATCTAAGGACTGGAAGGAAGACCTAAACCAAACTGAAGTTTTGGAACAATCTTTCCACTGGAATATCATGGCTTAAGGAAGCTTTTAAAATGCAGTTCAAGGAAGGAACTGTATAATATGGGTGCTTTTAAGCACAGTGGACAGAATCTGACAGTTTAATCTGTTCAAAGGCCTTTAATTCCTAAAGATTTTCAAAGAATTACTGTAGGATCTCCATTTTATTACAAACAAGCTATATTTTAAACAGGCTCAACTCATTTTCAAGTGCCTTTAAATGTAAAAAGAGGGGAAAAAGAGTTCTCACTTCTCACTGTCAAAAAAAAAATAAAAAATGATGAAACATTTAGGATGAGGAATATCTCTGTTAAGCTTGAACTGGATTGAAATGTTGAAAGGCACTGTCTACAAACAGTGCAACGGTCATGCAATTGCAGCTTATGGATCCACAAGCAAGTTACCAGTCATGCCTGTTTACTTACTTATTGTCATTGCACAGTGTAAAGCATATCAGAATAGACAATCAACAACAGGGACACGCAGAGTCAGTGTCTGCTTCTCAAAATGTTGCCAGTCAGACAGGGACTTTGCCATGCATGATTTTCAATTAGAAAGAGGAGAGGTGGATTCAGTAAGTATTCACATAGTCATCCAGGTTTTCATTTTCATCCAAGCACCCCTTCAGAAACTACAATAGAAAATACAGAATGAAAGGGCTCTCTGTATTTAATAGAAGTTTACTTTCTCCATTCTTCTTTTCTTTCTGAGTGAAATGGAATTTTTATGTGTGTCAAAGCTTTACTTGTTAATTTAAAAACTGCATTCAATTTTACAACTATTATAGTTTCATTTCGAGTGTTTTATTATTCCTATTATTGGCCTTCTTTCCCAACTACCTGTGCTAAATTTTCTTCCCTATTCTTATATACCCATCCTCTTGTTCTTCCCTTTAAAGACAGTCCATCCTCCCTGCCAGAATCATCCTTTTGCCACTGTAGGCAATGTTTGGAGCCTGCTGGTTTCCAGCACAAAGAGCAGTAGGATAATCATCCCTGCTACCTGCCTCCTCACTCCCCCATCACCAGTAAACATCTCTAAAAGCATGCAAAACATGTATTTCTTCTCCTGAAGTTGGTCAATCATTCTTGAAGTAAGATATCTTGGTAGAAAGTTCTCACTTGTTTCTTTTGGTTGCTCTGGACACCCAACATTGGCAAAGCTTGACTCATATCCTTGATGTTATTTCTGGCACTAACACTGGCTTCTCTGGAAAGTAAAGACTTTGTGTAGGTTTTGGGCTTGCTCACCAAAAACTGGGCAGCTAGTTGGGAGAACGAAGGACAGCCAACTACAGGCACACAGGCAAAGGATGCTCTCATTCATCAGTTGCCTATGAATACTATGAAGGAAAACCTGCAGTTTCATCATGTTCTAGGAAAGAAACACTGTTGACTTTCCTGAGATTTCCGCTTTTATTCCATCATCAAATGACAGTTCAACTAGGCTCTGAAAAATTAAAAAGCCAAACATTAAGTTAGTACATACATTAATAAATGCAGAATTAAAAACTAAAGAGAGGAAGATTTGTATAAGATAGTCTGACTACAGCAGACAATGTCTTTCCATAGAAGTAATTCCAGGTCAGTTAAACAGCTCTTAGAAAAATTAAATATTATGCATAAAATATGCAAGACCTTTAGCTTTTAATCTTTTATGTTTTAATTGTATGGTAAAATAGTGTTTTGTCAAAGTAATTTTGTGTATTTAACTTTGAAGCACTTTTCAAAAGTCAATGACATGGTTTTAAAATATAGCACATCAAACGACATTTCCATCGACATACAGCAGTTGCCATAAACAGCCTTAATTTCCAGTCTAAATTACTGATCTAAATATATTCAGGCAAATTAATGCAATGGAAAATTATAGAACCTAAAGTGTATATTTATTTATTGCAACAAGTTTAACTTGCATCTCATCTGCCATTCACACAAGGTTACTTCAAGTTTAGTGATTTTTCACCTTTCATGCTCAAATTGAGAAAAAAAAAATGCCTCAAAATATCCATAATGCAGTTCAAAAACATATTATAACTAAGCTATTCAATGGAATATTATTTTCTGTATATTATTATAATTTCATTTAAGTTGTTACTACTGTGTTGAGCAGTTTAAAACTTGAAGACAAGTGAACAATAAGCAAAATTGCCTTTTCAGGTCAGGCATGGGAGTTTTTGAAGCAGTCAGTGCTACAAGATGTATCAAGGTGCAGAAAATTACCAGCACACGTGTAGATTTGTTTCACAGCCTGTCTCCTGATGACAGCTTTGTAATTGGTTTTAGAGTGGCACAAGGTGCAGGCAGCCTGAACCAGGGTGCTATTGAGACTGAGTTCATTGAAAAAGGGTTGTATTCATTGAGGATGGGTTTTTCAATATCAAAAAAAAAAAAAAAAAAAAAAAAAAAGTCTTAGCTAATGATATATCACTAATCATTTTAGGTTGGGACAATAGAAAGTAGATTAGATCCCACAGCAACTGTTAATACTGAAAATCAGAAACCACGTGTGGTACAATTTATTTCATAGTCCTAACAAAAAAGCTTCTACTTTAACACAAATTAAGACCTGGTTTCTCTGAGACAGAAAACTGTCCTCTTACTCTCCAGACTACTTTAAAATTGAGTCTTTTTCTCCTATTTCAGACATTGCAGCTTATTATGAACAAAATCCCTCAACTGTTCAGTATGTCACCTTCTGTTTGACAGGAGGAAACAAGGAACGATTACTGTGTCTGTGAGTTTCACAAGGAGCTGGGGAAGACAATAAAAAATGAAGTGAGTTTTTTTTTATAAGGGGAAATGAAAAGAAACCATTTATAAGCAGCAGAATGAATGGCTGTCTTTTTTTTTTTTTCTTTTTCATTTTTTTCTTTTTGTCTCACAACTGAATCCTATTAGCTTCTTTGTGTGTCTTCTCTGTTAAATATCTAAAGGTAGGGTATAAAGAAGCTGGGCCCAGACTATTTTCAGTGGTGCCCAGCAACAGGACAAGAGGCAAAGGACACAAACTGAAACACAGGAAGTTCCAGCTGAGTATGAGAAAACATTTCTTTGCTGTGAGGGTGACAGAGCACTGGAACAAGTGCTCTGTGCAACGTGCTCTAGGTGATCCTGCTTGGCATTGGGGTTGGACTACATGATCTCCAGAGGTCCCTTACAACCTCAGCCACTCTGCGATTCTGTGATTAAACCTCTCACTTGCAACACTTCAATAGTAGATGTAGAGCTTAGGGATATGGTTTAGTGGGGACTGTTAGTGTTAGGTTAGAGGTTGGACTTGATGATCTTGAGGTCTCTTCCAACCTAGAAAATTCTGTGATTCTGTGATTCTGTGAATATGATGGAGGGTGGGATGACTGGGGGTGTATGGATACCAAGACAGTGAGGACCTTCTGTCCCTGTGTGTCCAACATGAGACAAGAAGAACTGCTCTGCTCTGCTCAGACTAGGAAGGCGAAAATTTTTCAAGCAAAGCATATTGTATGCTGGCCCACTCTAGGAACTTTAAATCCTGTAAAACTACCACACTGTCAAGTATGGCTAATGTCACCTGTGTAACTACATCACCTCTATTCTTTCTTCCATTCACTTCACGGTCCTTTGCATGCTGAAAACACTTGCTCTTTGTGTAGTGTCTGATATCAAGCAGGAAGAATTTCGAAAATCCCACCTGAAATTTGTCAGGACCATGTGCCTCCCAGTGTCCAGATTTGTCTTGGACACAAGTTGGAATTTGGAGATCTCAAAGAAAGCTTGTGGTGAATAGTATAAATTTGTACATTACTTACCAAAGGTTGTTTTGTCTGTAATCTGTTGGATCAGTGAAAACTACTAACGTAGTTTTGCCTAACTAACTAATGTACTACATCCTTGTGCATGTAGTACAAGGTCACCTAGCTGCACTTGTACAAAAGCTCCTTTTCTGCCTTGCAACTACAGAAGTAAAGGGAAATATCCCATGTCCCATATGCTTCTCACCCAGTGCATGGTATTCAAACATGCAGTACAAGAAATCTTACTTGTTCTCTGGTATCTGGCAACCTTAGCAACAGCTCCTCTGCCTTGCAGGCCCTATCAAACCAGTGCCTTGAACCTAAACCTTCAAAAATTGAATCTTGAAGGGGCATGTGAAGATGAAGATTGGTTCAGGCTCTGTCTGCATTTAAAGGGTCTGAGTCACACTTCCAAACGTGGCCTGTGCATTCAGTGGCTGATAAGACCTAAAACTGAACAATTTGGAGGTCAGAGACTACGGAACGATGTTAGAAATGGCTGCAGACAGGATAGGAGGGAAGCAGGGGTTCAGGCAAGCGCAGAAAACCCACAGGGCAGAAGCCAAGGCCAGTGCATGTTGGAGGCAGCCTGGAAGACTGTCTGGGGACCCCGCGTGGGCTGGATGGCACACTCTCAGGTCCCACACACACTATGGCTGCAACAAGGGGCAGTTTGGGGGCCTGTGGCCTCAGTACTGGGCCAACACACCCACAAGATATACCAAACCACTCAGTGATACACTCGGTTTGCCTAACAGCAGCACCCTGGGATAAGCAGGACAGGGGTCTGTGCTCAGGGACAGGTCCAGCGCTCACTGAGCTTAGCATAATGAGGCCACTGACAAGAGCTAATGAAGGTCTTGTCAGCTGCTCTTGTCATAAATGCTTCACACACACTTTTGGAGATGGCAGTCAGCCCCTGCTATCACCAGTGACAGTGTTGTGCTGATGGGACACTGACATGAAGCCACAGATGGCCCTGTGGGGACAGCCGAGGGCTTCTCCGCGGGGTTTTTCAGGTGACACACGGCAGGCAGAACTCTCCTCTGCATCACTCCTTCTCCGCCACCTCCCTCCTGAGGGACTGTGGTGCCTTGCAGCTCAGGGGGTGACATGCCAGTAGGAGAGGCCTCTAGGCCTCCATGCCTACCTCTGGGAGACCAGTTCCCAATGGATGCAGGGCCCCCAGTTTGACCATCGACCATGTCAGGAGAGATGGCAGTGAGTATGTTAAATTGCTGTTTCCGTAGAAGGAGAAGTTGTTCATGGAGAAAAATATACCTGGCTTTAGGCCTTAAGAAACAGTTAAAAATCTTGCTCTATTCAGGGTTTGCAAAAAGTCATAAAAGCAGGTAGAGAAACAATTTATAGCAGCAGCCAAAAACACACCATCCCAGATGAAGCGCTCCAGCACGGTTTTTTCTCTTACAAAGGAAGTTGTGGTAACGCAAATGTAACAGCCACTCTTCAACACAAAACAGATTTGCCCCAGAGCTCTGTAACAAAAACAAGCTTGAAAATGGGTTCTTTCTACTCAAGTACAACATTTTTCCTGCCTCTCTTATTCCTCCCTCCCTACCTTCACCCAAAAATAATTGCCTGGAAAAAGGAGAAGTTCCTGTAGTTACTCCTGAAGAGTGCTGTATTCAGGCTTTGGTGAAGTAAGGCAGATCACATTAGAGCCACTGAATATTTGAATTAGTCTCAGCAGGTCAATTACTACAAAGATTTTCTGCTCTAGTTGCTCGCAGAGAGATGTGCACTTCTTAAAATCCCAGCTATTTTCTGTTTAATTTATTGGTAAAGAAAGACATAACAGTGCAAAAAAAAAAAAAAAAAAATCAATTGAACAAAACAATTTTATTGGAATTCAACATGCTACAACAAGGTGTACAAGCACAAAACCTCAAGCAAGACAAGCAAGCATTCTTGTAACTTCCTTCAAAGACCTCTGCTGTTTGCAGCACATCAGTCACTTAACAGGTTTCCCCGTTGATCAGTTATTTAGCCTTTCCTTTTATTTTTCTGAAAGTTATTTTCTTTCCTTAATTGCTACCTCTAAAAAAAAAAGTGTACCCTTATACTTCTGTACATTTCAGTTTAGGGCAGTATAAACTCCTGCCTTCCTACTTCTGTTTCAGTGGCTTCTCTCTACCCTCAGCTGTTTGTCAGGCAGGGGAAGGACGAGAAGTCAATAGAAGTTTGAGCAGATCAAAGAACAGGATCTGTCAGGCTTTCACAGCCTCCATGCCCAGTATTTATTATATTGCCATCCTCAGGAGCCGATGAACAACCTTTCGTTTGAGAGCTTGGACTGAAGAAGTTCCAGAATACCAAAAAAATGGATGAAAGCCAGAAAAAGTCAGTAAGCTTGAGAGTCACAGGAATAAAGGGAGAATTAACACTGTCACACACAGCTGCACTTGCTGTTATTAAGTAGAGGAGATAATAGAAAAGATGTCTGAGGATAATTAGCTAAAACTGTACTGTAATCTTCAATTGAAAAATAGATCCTTTACAAAAATTCCCTACAGAAATCTGGTAACTCCTACAGTATTTATTTCTACACTTTTTGTTTGTTTGTTTTTATTCAAATACTTTATATACACTTTAGATGCAATTGATATTTAAATTTTTTTCAATCCTTTATGAAGCTCAGAGGACAGAAGCAATTCAATCAGAAATAAAGAATGATGTGAATAAGCAGCAAGGGAGTGCCTCTTCATTCAGCGCACAGAAAAATTAATATCCACAGAACAGCTATTAAATAGGGCAGATTTTTTGCATGGCTTCAGTAGTAGAGCCACACTCATTTTGTACCAAGCAAGTATTATACGATTAAGGAAGATGGGTGACAAAGCTGAAATTTGCTAACAGGGAACAGGGGAATAAGTGTTCTACTTATTTGTAATGATAAGTCCCAGAGTAAGACACTAACAGGTGTTACTTTACCCACAGAAAAGATTTCATCTTTCTTTTTAAATAATAAAAATAAAATTAAAAAAAAAAAAAAAAACAAAACACAGCACCTACCTTCACACTTGGAAAACAAAGAATATTTAGCAAGAGGTAACGATTAGCCAAACAAAATTATCTTACCATTAGTGATCAACAGTTAATGAAATAGCTCAAAACTAGTCTTCCTTATGTAGCATAGGCCAACAATACCAGAGGAAAACTGGACAAGCAAAGTAACAGAAAAGACAGACATACTTGCAAAAGCTGCAAATCAACTTCAAAACTAGATTAATCTCAAAAACAAGAGTGTCCAGGCAAGAGTATACATGCTGAGAAGGCAGGGCCAAAACAGGCTTGAGTGTGTGCTGCTGTCACTTGATGGATCTGGAACACACAGCTAAATCTGGGATTAAAATACCAGATAGTTACGTGCTATGCTGTTTCGTGTCTGATGTATGAAGCAAGGCATTGTAACCACATGAGCTAAAGCTGGAAAGTGGAAATGGGAGAAGCCACAGTATGGGGGCCTCTCTCACATGCACAGGAACCAAGCAGAAACACAGGTCTGGTGAAAACAGCAGGCTTTTCTGCAAAATCTGAAGGGTAAAAAATAGCTGCAATTTAAGCTGTTCAAATAGGTTCACCATCTCACGCAGAGACGTTGCATAGCTTGTTGTTAACAGGAAGGTTCTGCATAGTGCTACCAGCTTTAACTCCATAACACAACTGTCTGAAAAAGGATTTTAGAAGTACAGGCTAGGAAAATCCCCTTCGCAGGTGCAACACAAACAGGGGTAAAAGCACATTTTCCCCAGGGATACTGAAGCTTCTTGTAATTTCAAGGTCACATAATAGCCTTTTCAGCACCCTATCTAATCTCTCCTTCCTCAAAGGGAAAACCATATTTTCAGTATGTTCTTACATGAATTTTTAGAATTAGTTTGAACTAGAAGGAGAAATATGGCCCATTGCTTTTCATCATCTAATCAACACTTCTTCCAGGTCAGGGTATCTCGTTTTTATATATGTGCCTAGTACTTGCATAAAAGGGTAAGGAAAACACCATCAGCCAATCCTTATGCTCTTCGAATCTCTCCATACTACACTAGTGTAAATTTCCTACAGCGTGGAAGAAGATGAATCCATATTTACAAAAAATCCATAATAACACAAGAAATAAATTCAAAAATAGCATTTCCTTCTAGGCCTAGAATGGAAAAATGGAAAATAAGGGATGTGGAGAGACTTAAAAACAACGTTCTCATTAAGTATTTTTTCTCAGAACAGTAACAGAAATTTAGAATAGTATTTTAAATTCTGCTCTTACAGTTGCACTTCAGTTTCTCACATACTTT